AATAACAAAATCCTGGCAAACTTGGACCTTTGAGGCCACAAATAAACCAGAGTATCAAAAGGTTAGTTTTTCCTTTGATAATGCAATTATTTTAATGACCTTCACTCTTCAGCAATGTTTACTGTTTTAAAAAGCCATGATTAGAATTGTAATAAAACCTAAACATATGATGAAAGTGAATTCAAACATATTTTTTGTTCATGAGAATTTACAACAAAATATTAAACATTATTTATTTGTTAGTTTGTTTATTTACAAGAATAATTTTATATTTACAACATTCTAAAAATTAATACAATTAAAACTAATTCAATGTTATATTTATTATTTACCAATTTATAAAAAAATAAATATGAAAACAATTTTTTATTCATAAATTTATAAACATTTACTAAATTATAAAAATATGTGAACCAACTATAAGGAATTCCTTATTATTTACCATTTTATAAAGTTTGAATCAATCACAATTAGCCAATATTTTGCCAAACATTCCAATAAACAATATTGTAAATAAACAATCTAATAAATAAATAATGTTTATTATTTTGCTGTTAATTCTCAAGAGGAAAGAAAATGTATAAATTCACTTTATTGTGTTTAGGTTTTATTTCAATTCTAATCATTGTTTTTTAAAGGGATAAATATTGCCAAGGAGTGAAAGTATTTAAAATAATAGCAGTGTCAAGGGAAAAGCCATCCTTTTGACACTCCAGTTTTTTGCAGCCACAAAAGTCCAAGTTTGTCCAAATACCTTTCTTAAATGGCAATATTTTGAAATTCCTTTTTTAATGTTTCCTTCCTTCATCTTTTTAAGATAGCAGCAAAAACAAAGTTTGAAATACATTGCAAAAACTAAATTTCATGATCTTGGAAAGTTGTGATCAGGTTCAGTGAATTGTTGGCAACTTAAAAGACAGATATGTTGTTTTATGATTATTTTACAAAAATTGGTTCACTGTGTCATAACAGACAATTTTTCTTGTCAGAATCTATCTTAGACATATATGAGTCCATCATTCATCCATGTATTGACTATTGCTGCTACATCTGTTCTGGTGCTTCTGCTATGTATTTTGAGATTCTTGATAAAATCCAAAGAAGAATCTACAATATTATTGGTCCTGACCTGGCATCTCAGTTTCAATCACTTTCCCACTGCCATAACATAGCTTCCCTATGCCTTTTCTATAAATATTTTTATGGAAATTTTTCTGGTAACTTTTCCTCTTTGGTATGTTGCAATTTATGAATTTAAGCACAGTATTAAATTGGCAGCAAGTCAGTTTACAGTTGAAATGGCTAGGTGTAACCATAAGTTCTTTACTAACAGTTTCTCCTGATGCACTTTTCGCTTGATGAAATCTCTTCCAGTTTCTTACTTTCCAGTAAACTTTGATCTTCAAAAATTTAAATTCAATGTCAATCATTATCTTCTGTCTTCTTAATTCTTGTTCATTTATTGTTCTCTCTCCTTAATAATGCTTTTCTTTCCCCATATGCTCTCACATTCAGTAACCCCTTGCATCATAGTGGCTTTATTGCCTTCATTGGGGTGAAATGATTAAAAAAATTTAACTGTATATTAAAATTTAAAAAAAAACATTTTATTAATTTTCATTCAATCTGTAAAATATTTAGAAATATTTTTTTTTCTGTTCTTTATTCTTGTTAATTAATTTTCAATAATTATTTTTTAAAAAGAAGTAATTTATCAAAATGTTACTGCCAAAGCTCAATTCAAACAATGATAATTTTTAAATTAATTTTTCTTTTTAATTTTTATTTGCATTACATTCCCTTCATTTATTTCTTTTTATTATTGCTTTTTCTTCTATTTTTGAACAGTTTTTTAATACAACGAATAATTTCATTTAAATTAACTACATTACTTAAAATGATTACTTCACTACTTATATAAATGTCTTAGTTGGCAATAATATAAGTGATGGATGACTATAAAAAAGCACTGTTGATTATTTATGACTAACGTGTTTAAATAATGTTGTTTGTGTTACATAGCAATAATTGTAAGTAAAATGGTGCAATAAAATAAGTAACCAAGTAATCATTTTAAGTTCTCCTAATATTAGTGCCATTTTGTAATGTTTATTTTATTTTTATTGAATGACATAAACTTTTTTAGTATCCTTACTATCACTATATTAAACCAAGCATCGTTTTTAACAACATTTGCCTATAATTTTATTTTTATAATTTTCTTATTTATTAATTATAACAACATTTTTTATAGATGAGGACGTATTTTCAAATTTGTTGGAAAAGCATTCAAGTCATAATGATATTTTGTTTTATTATTTAACTATCAAATATTTTTAACAAAAATAATAATAAAATATTCTCATATATTTGATGGTAATTTTTTACTTTTATTCCTTTTATTATTTATTTTTATTATTATCTTTTTTAAAATATATATAATAAAACATTTGGTACATTTGATGGGGAACTGTTTACTCTGACGTACAGCATTAAATATATATGTGTTAATGTGTGTATCTAAACACTTCAAGTAGATGAAATACATCAGCCCGGGAGGTTAGTTCATCTAAGAAAAGGAAAACTGATTTTAACGCTCCACTGCCTTGCAGCCAAACCCAATCATGGGAAAGATTTCTGGGAGTAAACCTTTAGGACAAATCTAGAGTCTGCAGAAATTCAAATTCCAAGTTGATGTCTGGCATGGTATAATTCACTTCATGGTTTGAAAGTGATGTAATGAATATGCATACACCTGGGTTCTCACTCACAGTAATATGATTGGCTGGTGTCAGCCATAAATACAGACTGATGTGGAGGTACAGGACGACGCCTATTGGTTACGCCCATTGCCTACCACTACGACGAGGACCAGTCCATTACAGTTACCTGCTAGATTGTCCTACCCGGTTACAGTGTCAACACCCACTTTGCTACTTCGAACAAATATATCCCTTTCTGTGACATATCAGAAAGAAGTCTTTAGCCTTGGGTGGCAGTCTTTCTAGAGATGGTGTCTCAATATGTAGGATTGTTGTCCCACATTTTGTATCAACTACTGAAAGAACTATGTTCCAACCAACCATAGGAAGTTCGATGATAATGATCACCTTCCTGCTTTCTAATTTACAGATCCCATTTTAACAAAATTCCTATTTTTGAAACATGTTTTACTTGTTTTTTTAAAATGTTTTTAATTAAAGAAATTTAAAGTCTGTTTGTGTGTATATCAATAATTTTAAAATGCAGAATAAATGTTTTTTTTTTTTTTTTTCAAAGAAAAGTTCACCCAATGAAATGCTTGAGAGACTCTCATGGCAGAGTTATGCAATGAATTGTATGATATGAATATAAGAGAAGATGGTAGGAACTGAAGTGAAGATTAGGAGGATAAGGAGAATATATATAGATTGACACATATTGTATATACTCAAGGATAATATTCACTTTTTTTCACCAAAATTTTGATAAAAATCAGTGGTGTGGCCTATCCACTCAACATCATTGAGAATCTGAATAGACTGTGGCATATTATTAGTCCAGGCAAGTACCCTGGGCATACGTGAGAGCAAGGTAGAAAATGAATTTTTTCCAATATTTTGATTTTTTACAATCACCCTCTTCCAACAGTACCACATCATAAATCAAATAAAAGTACCTGATCTGTACTGCTCCTATTTACCATTTATTATCTAATTTACAGCATAAGACTATAATTTTCAAGTGATTTTTGGACTGAAGCAAGTATTAATAACCACGTTATGGTCTAAATGGAGCAGTACCATACTTGATAAGTAAATACCACACAATTACAACCAATCACTTTTCTTTGTTTTAATATATGTAAGCAAAGTTTTGAAATAAAGATGAATATTTGAAAATATTTAACAAATATTAGTTATATTTACATTAAAAAAGGGCCATGTAACTTGCCAGATTTTAGTGCAACCTATACATGAGTATATACGGTAACTTGATGCAGTGTTCAATGTATTGTTTGGGGAAGCATCTATGTGGGAGTCTGTCCAACAAAGTAACAGTACTTATGAAAAAAGTGTCTGAGTGGAACCTTCTCCTTACATTTGGAATACTTTATGGAACATACTCCCACATGGTTGCTTCCCTGAAAACTGCAATTTTAATATCTTCAACTCAAAAGTCAGTCATCATCTATCTTTATCATCCTCACTTACTACCAACTCATCATTCATATCACACACCTCATTTATCATAGTCATTTTAAAAGTAACCTTCTGTCTTAAGTAACTCTTGAACTGTATAACATAAAAATTTTAACCTTTAGCACTCTGCATTATTCACTACTTTCCTTTGCACTGCATTGTTTTTCTTAATTTCAGTCATCGTCATTTTCTGTTGCCATAACAGGATATGATAACACAACTCCAAAATTCAAACACACTATTATTCACTCATTTGAGTCATTTGCAGTGGCGGGATAAAATGTTTGCTTTGCAAGCAAAATCACCTCCAGTATGTTAAAGGTTTTAATAGAAGAAAAGCTACTTTGTCAAACATTAATTTTTCTACAATTCCAAAAAAATTCATTAAGGCAATCCCTTTAAAAAATTTAATAAACAAAAAAATGAGACAAGGAAAGTGAAAATTAAAATTTAACAGGCTACATTATAAATTATTACTTCCTTTTCTACTGCATTCTTTTTCAAGGTCTCTCAATTGCATTATCCTTACTGTTCATTTCACTCAAAGTTGTTTTCTGTTGCCATAGCAGGATATGACAACACAACTATGTAATACAAATACATTATTGTTCAGGGATCAGAGTCACCTTCAGTGGCAAGATAAATGTTTTCTACAGCAAATAAAGTCACATACAGAATGATAAAGATTAAAGAATTTATTTGTAAGATTTGTGAAATTTTATTTGCTTGTCATGTTCATTTTCTCTGTTTCTTTTTATTTCAGATCTATGCTTTGCCTTGGACTTCAAGACTTGTGCTGACACGGGTTATACAAGAACAATGTTTCCAAACTTATTTAATGATGATAACATTGACGCAAGCAAGAAAAGATTTTACACAAATGCAACTGATGTGATAAACAGAGGCTGTTCTTCATTTGCTCTTCACTACATGTGTAGTTTGATTTTCCCAAAATGCGTTGATGGATACATGTTGTACCCATGCAAAAGTACTTGTCTAGGTAAGTAGAAATTGATGCAAAAATACATGTGGGTGTAATGAAAGGTTCTCAGCCAGACCACCTTCCCAAAATCTGAACATAAAAGAGGATTTGTTTTGAAATCCTCTTCTTGGTCAAACTGAGAATTTCATTAGCAACTTCTTATATATATATATATATATATATATATATATAGTAACCTAGAAAAGGTTACTGAATGAGGAATACGCAAAACAGAGGTTGGAAATGAAAATGGTAATCTTTAAAGCATCAACAAAATACAATACTTGCCAGTGGTATGAAGTAGGTAAACCACTGCTAGTGGTGGACTACTTAGACAGCATATTACCCCCACTTAAAATAATGTCCAACATATTTATAACATACCCATTAGTATTCATAGGTATGATTTATAACAAAATATATATATATCTATATATATATATATATATATATATAACACATAAAAGTTTAATGGTCAGAATCAGACGAGAAAACAGTAGTATTAAAAAGTGCTCAATACACATGTGAAAAAACAAAAGTAAAAATAATATATAGACCTTTTAACTTTAAAAATCAGGAGGTCAGTTGAATCCACTACCTTAGTTTCAACCTTACAGTATCCTCAGGTGAATTTATCAAAAATAAAAAATAAAATTACCTAAGGATACTGTAAGGTTGAAACCAATGTAGCAGATTCAACTGACCTCATATTTTAAAGTATATATATATATATATATATATATATATATATATATATATATATATATATATATAGATAGATAGATAGATAGATAGATAGAATATAGATATAGAATGTGATCCATCATTTTAAAAACATATATATATATATATATATATATATATATATATATATATATGTGAACAGTGTATATAAATATAAATAAATATAAGTATGTATAATTATTTATATATTATATGCACGGTACTTATTAGAAAGTGCTCAATGTCAGAGATAGAGCTAACATATTTGGTTGGATAGATGTGAGTTTGTGACCCTGGGTTTCACACTTTAGCAATCGTCAAACAAACTGATTAATCCAACATCATCACTTGATAAGACACCAGAGGTGTTGAAACAAAATGGCTATTTTTATAGTGATTTTATAACATATTTATGTTATAATTTTTAAATAAATAATTATATTTGCTCTACTCTGTATTGAGCACTCTTTTTAGAATAGTAATTGTTGGTTATTGGAATTTATTCCGTATACACCAATCATATACTTGTATATATATATATATATATATATATATATATATATATATATATATATATATATTGTTTTAAAAATGATGGATCACATTCTTTTTCTTTAAAAGTAAACTTTTTCATCCAACACTTCTTCAGAAAGATTCATTGGAAAAAAAAAACAAACATGCAAAAAAAAATAATCATAAATGGCAGACCTGAAAAAATACAGGAAGCAGGGCTAAATAAAGAGCTATGACTAAAATAAATTTATTGCAAAATAAAAAAATCCATGTAACCATAAGTTCTGTGCTAACAATTTCTTTTCTCACACTTCTTGCTTGTGGAACTCCCTTCTGGCTCCATGTCCTCCAGCCACCTTTAATCTTCAAAAATTTGAATGCAATGTCATTACTAAGTGTTTATTACTACAACAATTTATTTACACCAATTTATTATCTTAGTAATAAATGTATTGTTTCTCAAGATTTGACAAAAAAAGTATTAAATACTATTTATTTATTAGATTGTTTATTTACAAAAATAATTTTATATTTACAAGTTTATCCATGTAAAATGAAAGCAAATGGAGTTCAATTCCAACATTGATAACATTTAATTTAAAAGAGGGCTCAATGCAAAGTAGAGCAAAATTCTTTATTTTAGGATATTACATAAAAAACATGTAAAAAAAATACTACACAAATGCAATCATGTTTCGATGCATATTAAAACATCTCATCAGAAATGTGATGCTACAGAACAATACTGAGCTACCACATATTACCACTGAGCCCCCCCCCCACAACTGGTGGGAAATGCAGTCCTCATTGGGGCCCCCAGGCAATGCTTTGTGATTCTCATTATCAACATTTTCTTTTTTTTTTCTACCTATATTTATTTAAATTACAAATCAAACTAAGCACAACTATTAAAGGATTAATTTTTTTATGTTGTCCTGTTTTTTGAAGAGTTTTTGTTTCCTTCCAAATCTGTAAATTTGATTTGCTTGTGCTAAGTCTCAGAAAAACACTATATCAAATTCATTATTTTTTATCCATAATGTTGAACGTGTTAAAATTATTCAACTTTTGAACAAGAAAAATCTCAACTTGATGTTAAAGACTGCTGCAAAACATTGTTAATTTATTTAAGATGGAATGACCTATTACGACGTGTCTCTAATTTGTATTTAGATACATTGTATTTATTTTCAATTGTTTACTTATATTGCATATTATCCATTATTGTATGTTAGTAGATCACAATAAAATTTGTATTTTATATGAATTCTACCTTATGAAAATTGAGGCAGTAGAGTAGGTGGCATCATATCATAGATTAGGGGGGGGTATCATAGATTCGAGGTGGGAGGAGGCACAAGACTCTTGCACTGGCCCTGAATGGATGGGCCATTTGTGTAATGAATCCACTTTCAGGAAAATGGAAACAAAAAGGACATGTATACTTAGAATCTGAAAGAGACACTTGAAATTTCTAGGGCACATAATGAGGAAAGAAGGCTTAGAGAATTTGACACTAGTAGGACATATTGAAGACAATAGGTACAGAGGAAAACAGCAAGTAGCCTACCTAACAAGCTTGCACAAATGGATGGCAGAAGTGAAGGGTCAAAAGACAAACAAAGAGCTACAAAGAATATGAAGTTGTGGGGAGCCATGATCAGCTATGTTCTGAAGGGATAAAACACATAGAAGAAGAAATCATAGATATACTAATGCCTGTCATGAACTTTGGAGAGTTGAGAAGACAAAGATAGTTTCTTTCCAAGCAAGTTATTAGCTGGAAATATGGTACCTGAACTTCTACCTCTATTTTTTTCTTTTCTTTTCTTATTCAGAGATAAAAAGCAAATGTGGTCCAGATGCAACGATATTTCCCTGTGAATATTTCGTTGATGATGAAACCTACTGCTTTTACCCAGAACCGATCACCACAGAAAAAACAGAACTGCGTAAGTTGAATATTTACTGTTATTCTTCTTTTTCTTTTACCAACTTCTCTAAATTTTATTTTCATTTACACACATTGAATTCATATCTAGAGAGACATTTTTGTGCAATTTGTATAAAGTATCACCTTGAATATGTTCTGATGAGATACATTATTTAGTTCCATCTGTTTAGATCTTTACAGCTAAAACCCAACATGCCACATACACAGAGACAAACCATCTGCATTCCCTTCATATTACATAAGCAAGAAAGAACGATGTGATGCTTTGTGAATAAAAAAACTCCCAAGAGGATGCTTCCCTAATCACTAAGTTCAGGGTAAACCGTTATCTATCGAACATATCCTCATAATGAGCACTTCTCATCTCTTCCTCCTACATCCCTAAAAAAAGCTCTTTCTCTAACCATCTACTTTGAGTGGCTCACGAGCCTTGTATTAGGTGAACATTTAAAATGAAAAAAAAAGGAACTTTTCATTTATAAAAATATCATGCAAGTCCCTTCCTAATGCTATAAATTTCATTGTGACAATTGCTTCTCAAAATCAGATCAGACTTTTACAGCTCGGACACACGATATCCATGTCATTGAATCATTTTCATTTCTTCTGTGTTCCAAATATAAAAAGAAAATTCCAAACCGCTTATTCCCAAGAACTACCACTTTGGTTGCTTCCCTGAACATGTTAAATACTCTTGGGCAAGGTATGAATCCAGCTCTTCTCCCCTTAGCTATGGATTAAATATTAGAACTTGTATCTGGAAAAATTATTGTTATTCTCAAGATGCAATATTCACTCACAAAAAATAATTATTCTTACAATCTAAAACAAATGTTTTGGTTTTAAATAAACTACAAAGGGTCGATAAAACATTAAAAACAAATTAATCTTAACCTCTTCAAGTCAAAGGTCAGTCATCATATTTCCTTGTTATATTCACACGCTTCACTTCCTAACATCTCTTTTATTTATATGACACACTTTATTATAATAACCATTTTAACACTCCCTACCTTAATTGGCTCTTGGCTAAAAAAATCTATTCAATGAATTTAGAGTTTTAGTTTTGGTCATGCCATAATATAATATTAGATATCAACTTTTTAAAAGCCATCCAAAAATGATGGCCGAATTTAAGTAATTTTGCAATTGCATTAGTTATATTTTCAGCTTGACTAATCAAAATTTTTATCAATGCAATTAACTATTGTTATATGCAAGGAAGAATTTTACGCTAGAAATTATTAAAAGTAAAAAAATATCTGAAGAAAACTAGCATGAAACAAAAGAAATAAAAAGCTATGTATTAGCAACCTGATCTGCCCTACTTACTAATGGTAACACAATACATGTTCCCTTATTGGCATCAAGTAATAATACCACCTCTTACCATTTCTAAGAAGGGGGAATAAATCAACAATCAGATAATTATCAAATTTTATTACAATTTTTAAGAAATTATTCTCTAACAAATAGAATTATTTTTTTAAAAAATTTAAAGTCTGACCTTGAATTAAAATACATACACACATACAAACGCAAGCGTACATACACACAATCTGAATGAAATTAAAATGGACATGTGTGTATCACGTGGGCTACTTTTCTTTCTGTCTGGCAACAACGTCTAGTTAATAGGAAAACGTTAAAATCTTTAAAGTAATTTTAATGTCTCTTCCTGCATTTAAACTGGATATATTTTCTAATAAATGTCATAAATGGACAAATAATTTAGATCTGGAATTTGATAATTTTGCCGTTAGCAAAGCGACAGGTAGTTTTATAACAAAAGAATAAGTAGCCTATGAGAGGCGTATAAAAATAAATGCAATCTCCTTCCCATTCCTTTTTTTTTTCTTTTTTGCGCCTTTTTGTTATTCATGACGCCTCTATAGTCGCCTGTTTTAAATTTACTTCGAGCGCCTGTGTGACATTCTTTCTCTACGAAATGTAAACAAAAAGAGCATAGCATGATGAAAAAAACGCCGAACTTGACGAAAACAAAATTTTATCGTCTAATGTTCATACTTATTATTAAAGAGGAAAGATCAAAGTATTTTGGGGGTATTTTTTTACATTTTTTAATCGTTCCTAGCACGTCCGAAATTTTCGTTAAAAATCTTGATTTTTTTTGTCAAAAAACAAAAAGACAGATAATCCATCATTTTCAATCATTTTTTTCCATTTTATAAAAAAGATGGAAATCTGACTTTGATATTCCTTTAAAAATCAATTATCATTTTTTCAAAACTTATTTTAATAGAATCAGAAATTATAATGTTTATTTAAAATATTTTGAACCTAGCTTAACTTCTGCGCCGAAAAAATGTAATTTGAAAATAAAACAAAGCAGGTCATAACCTATCGCGTCATTTGACAGGTGACGAAAGACATTTTCATGACGTTTAGATAACTTACGGGAGGATAATTCTTTCTACGGATGGAAGGAAGTGAAATTATTTAGATTTAAGTGAACAAGTTATTTACCTCGTTACTTTTAAGGAAAACTTTCAGCGCTCTAATTTTTTAATTTTTTTTTTTTTTTTTGTACTTAGCTTTCATCTTTACGTTTACGATGCTTTATGGAAAATATATTATAAAGAAATTAAAAAATAAGACTGTTAAGAGTGAGATTAAATTTCATAAGAAAGGTATTTAATTTCTTATGAAATTTTATCAGAAGTGTACATAAAATACTATAATTTTATGTACATTTATTACATTTTTACTGTGTTATTTGTATTTCCATTAATTTTATTATTAATTTTATATTTCATTTATGGAAAAATGTCATAACTGAGATTAATATAAAAATAAGATCATATAAATTAAAGTTTAGCAGTAGTTAAATTTCATAAGATGATACTGATACTTATAGGTACCCTTCTCAGTTGAAATTGAAAAATCAAATTATTAACTTCTCCATACGTGTTTCGCAAAAGTAAAGGCCTTAATAACGGAGAACAATGCTGAACTCAAATAATGCAACTTAATTGTATTCTGGTTGGTCTTCCGTACTTTATAATTACCGCCCGATTATAAACACAAAATTACATTTCTTAATTACTGCGGATCTTCTGATTGGTCCAAATGATACAATTTTCAAAGCACTAGACAATGACAATCTCAAAAGTTACAAACTTCGATTACAAATAAAAGTAGAGACGTCAAACATTTGAATTTAAATTTTGACTTTCGTGTAATTTAAAAAAATTAAACATTGAAACCTAATTTTTCATTCAGGTGTTTATCGTTTTATTTATTCTTCTTATCCTTTTTTTTGTTTTTAATTAGGCCACATTGTATATTGAAAAATTACATTTTTTTTTAATTACTAGAGCCATTGACCACTTTTTTCAATATACCAAAATTATTGATAAAAAAAAACGAAAATCACTTATATAAACAAAGTTAAAAATGGCAGTATTTAAAAACTGAAGACACTTATTTTTAGTTTTGAATGAAGAGATTTCTGATTTAGTTCCAACTCATTAACTAAGGGGAAATAACTCGTACATCATAATTATAATATTGCATGTGGTTTTGATTTAGATTGAATTAAACTCCCAAAGAAAACAGAACAGAATGGTAGACAGTACCAGAAACGTGTAAAAAAAAGAAAAAATATGACTAACAAAACCACAATTATTAAAACTATTACGTTAATGGCTATCTTATAACTCCCTGGTGAGTGAATAAGCTTAAAACTAGTTAATTATTATTAATTTTTAATTCTATCTGAAACGTTAGTAATTTTTCATGGAGCCTGCCATCTCTCTCTCTATATATATATATGTGTGTGTGTGAAAAATTCAAATCTAACTAAAAATATATCTGTAAAAAGACAATATGAATAAAAACAGAAAGAAAAACTGATCTTAAATGCGTTTCTTCCTCTTATGTAATTTATCAATTCAAATGTGTGGATTTTATTTTTGCAATATGTAATAAATAGAAGTAAAAAAATATCGTTAGTTTTTCAAAATTTTTAAATTTAAGAATGCTCATAAATCTTCATCAGACGAACTGGGAAAGTCAAGGTAAACTATAGAAGATGCAAAGTGATGTAATTTAATGCCTAATTAATGAAAGTGGGTAAATCCTGTTATTGTTGAATATTTTTTTATATAATTATTATTTATTTTATTTTAGTCTGAGAAATTAATTTATTTATTATAAACAATAGAAGATTTTGATTTAACAGTTTTCTTTGACTGTTTTAATATTTTTATGGTCATATATGTTGACTTGAGAAAGGAGTATATCTTTTAAGAAAGGAGATATTTGAAAAAATCTGGTGCAAAATAAAATCCTGACATTTGCCTTGATAGAGTCTATCAGAGGCTGAAATGTGTCAGTAAAGAATAGTTCCCCTTTTGTCTTTATTCATATATATATATATATATATATATATATATATAATACACAAATGTAAAAGAATAAAATTGCAACATTCAAAACATTAATTTATTTTCTTTCCTTTTTCTTTATATAAATCTTTTTTGCCTTTCATGGAAAATTTTGATGTTTCATTAATTATTGCAATTTTAAATAAGATTGCTTATTAATATCATTGTTAACCACCTGAAGAGACATTTTATTTTAAACGTTGAAACGAAATGTACAATTTTGTAGTGGATACTTACATGTTCTAAACTAATTGTATATAAATAATATATATATATATATATATATATATATATATATATATATATATATATATATATATATATATATAATATTTATACTTATAATTTTAATTTGAAATCTCAAATTCTGAGGGTATTTAAACTACTGGTTGGGGTTAGATTTTGTCATTCCCCTGTCCATGTCTGCAGATATCTCAACTTGTTCTCATTTAATACTGCTCAGTTCTTGCTCATTCTGTTTCCACTGAGTCTAACTCTGCACAACTCATCCCAAGGTTGAACTCTCAGTTACTACATTGTCAAATTCAGAAAGCAATACTTTAATCCTGCTTTAGTAAAGGCTAAGGTACTGTGGGATAATCCTGAGTCTAGACTTTGGAGTCTTGAAGCTAATATTTCTTCTTTTCTACCTTCTGATGAAGGTTACCTGAATGACTTACACCTAAATTCCAAAGGTCATAATGACTGAAATGTGATAATAACAACAGAGATAACGTTATTACTCTTAATGTAGATAATGATAACTCCTTATCTCAGAAATCCAAACAGAAAAAATGAAAAATAATTAACAATAATTTTAATGCCTCAAAGAAATTTGAATACAAGCCATATTGGTTTTTCTATTTTAAGAAGAATCTACAATGATATTGGTCCTGACCTGACATCTCACCACCATAATGTGCTTTTTCTAAAAACACTTTCATGGTAATTGTTCTGATGAACTTTCCTCTTTGGTATCTAGACTTTGTGTATTTAAGCATAGTATTAAATTGACGGCAAGGTCTCATCATTTTACAGTTGAAATATGTAACCGGAAATGGATGATCTCACTGGAAAGTGATTATCCAAAATGTTATTAACCCCCAACAGGCATTGGGCCCATGGAAAGATGGAACTATGGATGGATGTAACCATAAATTCTATGCTAACAGTTTCTTTTTTCACACTTCTCCCTTGTAGAATTCTCTTCCAGCTTCTTGCTTTCTAGTCAACTTCAAAATTTAAATACAATGTTATTCATTATCTTCTCTCTTCTTGATTCCTGTTCTTCTATTGTTCCTATTCTATTCTATTGTTGCTATAGTGTCTTCTTTTTCTTATATTCTTTTACACTCAGTAACCCCATGGATTTTAGATGCTTTGTTGCCTTGCTTGGGATGAAATGATTAAAAAATAATTTTTCATAACTGCTGAAATTGCAAAAAAAAAAAAAAAAAAAAGATGGCTGCTGAAATTGAAGGAAAAAACAACATAGTTTATTATCCCTCTGTCTTACTGACCTTGTTTCAAAATTCCTGAACTGTTGGCATTCTTACTTATTATTTATTCAGTTAATTATTTAGTGGGTGGGAGTAATGTGTTTGTGGTCATGTTTATTTATTTAGGATTTATAACAGTAGCAAAATATAAGAGGTGCTGAAGTGTATCCCCTCCCACTTACATTCCAAAATGATAGAAAAAAACTCTTGAGAAAATACAGATTTAACAAGATTTATTCTCCAATTAGTCAGAATTTAAATTTCAAAAATTTGCTATGATTTTTTATTTGGTTTGTTATCTTTTTCTATGTAAAGACTTACACTTATTTTCTCATGTACTTCCAAATGATGGCTTCACCATCATTATGTCAAATCTTTTAGCTGATTTAATATTTATTTGTAATCTTTTAGCAACTACTGTGAGTAAAAGAACAACAACAACAACAGCAGCAACAACAACCTCCGGCAAGTAAAGCAATTATTTTTCCAATTTGATTTAATTTTTACTTATTTATTTTTTAAATTGAAATTAATTTTTTTTTTGTGGTTTCTATTCTTTTTTTTACCTTGACTCAAGTCCAAATGTCATTGCACACAGAGGATAATTTATTTATCTGTTTATATCAAAGTTTAAATTTTTTTTTAATATCTCATATTACATATGTAATATATTTAAATATTTTGACAACTTCAAGGTCAAGTAGCAATAGTAAAATACATTTTAAAAGTCAAACATTTTATACAGCTATTCCTTTATATAAAAGCTTAGTTTTAAGCATAGAAAGTGTTTCAAAAAACACACATGCACTTGTAAAGCACAGTGTTTTATAATACATACCCACACAGTGTTTCATAGAAAAACATACATATGAAACACAGTGTTTCATTAAACAAACACACATACATATATGCGAAATACAATGTTTCATGAAATACATGCACACACACAGACACTTATATGAAACAAAATGTTTCATATAACACACACACAAACATACAAAATACAGTGTTTCATAAAACATACACACACAGACACACATATACTTATGAAACAGTGTTTCATAAGATGCACACACACACACACACACACATAATTACATCAATAAATTTGTGGCTCAATGAGGCGAAAAGTATTTTTCAAACATAATCTCCTTCTTTGTCAATACACATAATTCAATATTGAATTTTAATTACATAGATCAGGCATTATACAGTGAAAATTTCAAATCAAAATTCAGCTTATAACTATGAGCTATATCTATCTATCTATCTATCTATCTATCTATCGATATATATATATATATATATAGATATATAGATATATAGATATATAGATACATAGATAGATAGATAGATAGATAGATAGATATATGATGGAATCTCCTCTCAATTTTGATGTATGAGGATCTGAAAACCTGACTCAGTTTTTACATTTGTGTCATATGTGACACTTCAGTCCCACTAGTGACTTGCATACAAGTCCATATATTGTGCAACAGTGAAGATCTCGGGACATAGCTAGCAACAGGAACATTTGCTGACACTTTTCATTGTTGTCTTTTATTCTTAGTCGGTCAATATAACTGATTTCAAAATTTGATACCACTCTGGCACAAATATCTCCACTTATTTCTATCCCGGGCAACTTGCCCAAGGTTAGTATGAGTCACATTGACAGCTGAGATGTTACTCTTTAACTTGTCTTTATACCTGAGCCACAACCATCCAACACTCTTTTATCCACTGTTAAGCTGGCTGTACATGAGGACCTTAGGTATTCTGTTGGCACTCATCCTTGCAACATGACCAGCCCAGTTTTGACTGCATCAAAAAGGTCTCATTTCCATCAAGGCTGCATTTTGTGAAAAGATTGGTATTGGACTCCCAATCATCAAAAGTATAGCCACAATTTTCACTTAGAAAATTTTTGTGGAAGACATCCAGCTGATTGATATGGAACCAATATGGAGTCTACTATTCTGGGCCATACAACAGTGTGATCAAACCGGCCACTCTAAACCTGTATTTTGGTGTCCAATTTGATACCTCTCTGATTTCATAGAGTGTGGTGAAGCTTCCTAAATGCACTAATATCTTTGGTGTCCAATTTGATACCTCGCTGATTTCATCATTTATTCATTCATATCACACACCTCATTCATCATAGCCATTTTAAAAGAAACCTTCTGTCTTAAGTGGCTCTTGAGCCTTGTTTTAATGGAATATTAATATAAAAAGGTACTTTGTCAAGCACTACAATTCCAAAACATTCATTAAGGCAATCCCTTTAAAAAAATTAATAAACCATTATTAAAAACTGAGACAAGGAAAGTGAAAATTAACCTTTCACTGGCTGCATTATTAATATTAATTCCATTTCCACTGCATTCTTTTTCAAGGCTTCTCAATTGCATTATCCTTACTGTTAATTTGTTAAAGTTGTTTTTTGTTGCCATAGCAGGATATGACAACACAACTATGAAATTCAAACAGACTATTGTTCAGGGATCAGAGTCACCTTTAGTGGCAGGATAAACTTTTTGTACAGAAAATGAAGTCACATACAGAGTGATAAAGGTTAAAAAGAAAACATTTATGTACCAAAAACTTACCATATATACTTGTGTATATGTTGACTTCATGTATAGTGTGACCGTTGAATTTTTTGGATATGAATTTTAACCCCTCCCAAAAAAATTTACCTGTCACCAAACATGCAGGATTTTTAACGTCTTCAAAAAAACTACCTGTGTATAGTATATATATATATATATATATATATATATATAAATATATATAGGTTTTAATATAAGAAAAGCTACTTTTTCAAACATTAATTTTTTCTACAATTCCAAAACATTCATTAAGGCAATCCCTTTAAAAAATTTAATAAACAAAAAAAAATCAGACAAGGAAAGTGAAAATTAACATTTAGCAGGCTACATTATAAATTATTACTTCCTTTTCTACTGCATTCTTTTTCAAGGTCTCTCAATTACATTATCCTTACTGTTCATTTCACTCAAAGTTGTTTTCTTTTGCCGTAGCAGGATATGACAACACAACTATGTAATACAAATACAAAGGGATCAGAGTCACCTTCAGTGGCAGGATAAATGTTTTCTACAGCAAATAAAGTCACATACAGAGTGATAAAGGTTAAAGAATTTATTTGTAAGATTTGTGAAATTTTATTTGCTTGTCATGTTCATTTTCTCTGTTTCTTTTTATTTCAGATCTATGCTTTGCCTTGGACTTCAAGACTTGTGCTGACACGGGTTATACAAGAACAATGTTTCCAAACTTATTTAATGATGATAACATTGACGCAAGCAAGAAAAGATTTTACACAAATGCAACTGATGTGATAAACAGAGGCTGTTCTTCATTTGCTCTTCACTACATGTGTAGTTTGATTTTCCCAAAATGCGTTGATGGATACATGTTGTACCCATGCAAAAGTACTTGTCTAGGTAAGTAGAAATTGATGCAAAAATACATGTGGGTGTAATGAAAGGTTCTCAGCCAGACCACCTTCCCAAAATCTGACCATAAACAGAATTTGTTTTGAAATCCTCTTCTTGGTCAAACTGAGAATTTTATTAGCAACACCTTATTTATATATATATATATATATATATATATATATATATATATATATATATATATATAAGTGCAGGGTTGGTACAGATGGAATAAAATTCCAGTAACCAAAAACACTATTCTTAAAAGATTGCTCTATACAGAGTTGAGCAAATAATATTCATTCAAAAATTATGACAAAAAAATGTTATAACATCACTACAAAAATAACCATTTTGTTTCAACTCTTCTGGTGTATTTTCAAGTAATGGTGTTGATTGCTAAATAAAGAGTTTTAAGAGTTCAAAACCAACCAAACCCCCTCAACAGAGGGAACATTGTTTACGTAATCTATGATTACCAACCATAATACAAGTAGGCACCCAGTCGGATAATGCTATACCCGGCACATGCCTCACAGCTGAATGTGTGTGATATGGTGGCAGGTTTTGATAGACCTGGAGTATAACCTTATTATTATTATTATTATTATTATTGACATGTCATCAAACATTTTTAACCAATCATTAAATCAAGTTTATTTCGTTCCAAATTTGACCACTTTATCATGTAATTTTTTATTTTATGTCTTATCTAATTTCTTCCAATCAGACTCTTCAGGCTTTTGTCTTAATCATTTAAATCTTTTTCAAAATTTACAACAACATTTTTGAATATCAATCATATTCAAAAATGTTGTTGTAAATTTTTATATCATAGTGATTGATACTCAAATAGTAACACAAACTGTAAATGGACAACATCACTTTTTTAAATTTTGGATTATATTGTAAAGTTCTATATCATATTGGTTGATATGCAAGTAGTCACATGAATTGAATATAGACAACCTTCTATGTTGTCAAGAGGAGACTAAGTATGGTTTCTACTCTTCACATATTTAAAAATTTCTACAAATTTCTTCATTGTCTAAATTATGGTGATTTTCTAGGCGTATCTTAGATATGACACAAGGCCTAAAGTATAGGGAACCCAGTGAGGATTGAACTCACTACTCAAGCGTTGTAATCTTTCTAGCAAGACAAACTTGCTAACCATTAGACCACGTCAAAGTGCACCATTATCTAATTTATGTATTAATATATTCATTATTTATATTATTTGGACAATTGTCCTCATCTTTGTCGCCATATTTATTACAACGTTTCAGCCATTGTACGCTCCGGCCTTCTTCAGGTGGTTGGAATGTCAAACTGAACCCTTTATTTCACTCACTGGGGTAGACTGTTCTAGTTCCACGTGCCATGTTTAATGGATGTCAGTTATCAGTTATCTGTTAATTCCCCTCTCCAAGTTTTCCACTGCCTTAACCAGGTATTGAACTCACACTCTTTGGGTCCTGGATGGTGTTTGTAAAATGTGGGATCAGGATTATACCATGAAAAGATGCATGCCATTTGAACTTATTTTCCACGTATAAGACTTCCATAAAAGTTTCAGAAGTTAATGTTTCAGAAAAAAAAAAGTCAAACAGAAAATTAAGTTTTCAGGTTTATTTTGAAAATTAATCAGAGTAATGGTTTTAGACAAATGATACAGCTCATCTCAATAATGTTGTCATAGTCTGAGGCCAAGAAGACAAATTCTCAGTTCCGGAGGTCAGGATGCTGAAGCACCCACTATACCCCTGATGTATATTTGATTCTTTATTATAAGTTACGATGGTTCCACTGATGACTTCTTGAGACAAAAAAGTTGATATTCATCACAAAGAAGATCAAAGTCTACATTTAAACAATGATCACAATATAATTTCTTCAACATATATTTAGCAGCAGGCAAACATTACCTTTCTACCCATGGTTCTGTTAAGGAGTTGGAAAAATTTTCATTCAATAATAATAATAATAATAATAAGGTCCAAGGTTCAACTTTTAAAAAAATATAATTGTGTTATATTATGCTGAATTGTTGAAGGTTGGAATTAAAAACAAAGACATTGGTCCAGGCAGACACTTATTTATTTACAAGGGGCAGCCATTACTAATACAGGCAGAATGTTGTTTTTTTGGGTTTTTTTTTTTTTTGAGGAAGTGGTTAATCAACTGGAAATAGAAGAGGTAAAGGGAGTTTTAATTCACTTAGGTATGTGAATCATCATGCTAATACAACATCTCCCTCCATTAAATCAAGCTGGGAGAGGTCAGCTTACAAATCAATATAAATTTAAAGTATTGCTATGTTCAGTAGGTCAAAATTAAATCATGAGAAATACTTCCCTTGTGGTGTTTGTAAAATGTGGGATCAGGATTATACCATGAAAAGATGCATGCCACTTGAACTTATTTTCCACGTATAAGACTTCAATAAAAGTTTCAAAAGTTAATGTTTCAGAAAAAAAAGTCAAACAGAAAATTAAGTTTTCAGGTTTATTTTGAAAATTAATCAGAGTAATGGTTTTAGACAAATGATACAGCTCGTCTCAATAATGTTGTCATAGTCTGAGGCCAAGAAGACAAATCCTCAATTCCGGAGGTCAGGGTACTATAGTACCATGGATGGAATACAACAGTGTAAGTCAGCAATTATTCCATTGATCATACCAATCATTTGTCTTATCTTTGCTCAGTCTTATCATCCACTTCATTTGCTCATCTCCAAGCTGTTTTGACAAAAGTGGTATTCTCATGGGCTTACCATTGAGCCATTCCTCTGAAAATTTGAGGTTGGCCATAAAAAGTGTGGCTCTACAGAGTGCAAGGAATAAACTGTTGCCATTTTATATTTTTAATTTCGCACATGCGCGTTGTTTATTTTTGTCGACTGCACAGTATAGTGGGCTCAGTTGGGCACCATCTCTGAGAAAAAGAACATGATGCAATTCACTTCACCAGAAATTTGGAAATGGCATGCTGTACTGCTTGGCATTTACTCTGGATACTCCACTATGAACATTTTAGAGTGTTTAGGTTTTAATCTGAGGATAGTGCATAGGATTTGGAAAGAGATGGATGTCTAATGGGGATTATAAAGGTAAGGTAGCTAGGAAAACTCAGATCATTCTGATAAGAAAAGAACTCCCGAATTTGTTGGTGAGGGCCTCAGGCTTAACAGAGGCCTACATCAAGTGTAGGTCTAGAAGGTTGATGCTGGAAGACCCTCTGTCTGGCAACAGGAATCTGCACCATGCCACACAAGCAAGGAGAACCCAGATGTGGCTGTGAGACAATTTCTACGACTACATCACCCCATAAATCTGGCCACCTAACTCCTTAGATTGCAGCACCCTTGATTATTATATATGGGAGGCAGTTGAGCGAGAGACCAACAAAACTCCTTATAGCTCCAAAAATGATCTGAAGGCAAGGTTTATGGCAGCATTCACTGACTTAAACAAGGAGACCATCCAGAAAAGTTGCTAGAGATTCTGAAATCGTCTGGAGGTTGTGGTTGAAGCCAATAGCAATTTTATTGAATAAATTTACTCTTTAGTAGTTTAAGATATTTTTGTGTAATTTTGGTAAATATATCTGTTAAAATGAGATGTCAGTGTTATTTTTATTTTTGCATAATTTCAACAACAATTTTTCCAATGTACTTTATATATGACATGATGTCTAAATGACAGTTCGTGCCAGTTTCTGATGCTTTTGAAAGTAGCCATTTTTCTTAGACTGATGAAAGATTATACCTATTCTTTTCATGTAATTCTTAGCCAGGTAAGAAAAAAAGGTACTAGGGATGAAAGCTCATTAGAATAGATTTAGATCCAGAGCCTTCATATTCCTTGGTGGAATCTGTTCCTTATTGACCCTGTGTAGCAGAAACGAAATACAGACTGAGCTGCCTGCCACTACTAATAATGATACTTACCTCCATCAGTCAAAGAGATGATGTCTAGTGTTCTGCCTCTGTAAAAAGAAAGTAAATGGCTGCACTGCCAGAACTGAGCCACTACAAACCTTGGGACGTCTGGGTATGAAGAAATAAAATATCTACCAGCTCCCCCACAAAATAGTTGGGAGGGTGAACTGAGCAGTGTTAGTTATTCAAATGATTGGATTTGCTAGCCAACTGCTAATGTTTTTGGCTCAATAAAAGCAGGTAAATTTTCTGTGATGTAGTGGGCTGTGCTGAGTGTATGACATGATTGCTGTGTGATACCAAGGATTTCCTTACTTGTGTTTCTGGTATCCCGGCTACATTTGTTTCTTATGTGTGGAAGTTGTGTCTTGTCTGTCTTAATCCTATATTTGACTCCTTTCATCGTTGTTTCCAGTGTTGCTAAGTTTCTCACCCCTCTTGAGCTGTAACATGCCAATTCATTGTAGATACTCAACTAAGAAGAAAAACCATCGCCATGTCTTCAGGGGTGTCATTATATTCACACCGCTTGGCCAATTGCGGGTTGGTGGGATTATTTAACTCATAGTTGGAGGCTTTGAATTTATTGTTGTCCTAGAACAGTTGTTATCTAAGGCTATAGGACCCAGTCTGTCCTGTTATTTACCCATATCTGGGGTGAGAAGAGATGGATTTCCCAAGCGTATTTCACATAAGTGGAATTCATAACTTAGCTTTGCAATTCCATAATCCGAGGAACTATCTCTTATTTCATCATGCCTCCAACTCACCAGGTTAATTTGTGTTACATTTGAAAATTATAAAAATACCTTTTGTAATTTTCCAAGACTCAATTAATATTAAATAATTTATGGTGAGTACAGATATAGTCTTATTTTTTGCTTATTTCTTTAAGTTTATAAACAAAAATTAATTTCTGAGTACTTAAAAATAATTGTCTCTTTGAAGATGAACAAATATATTTGTCTGAAAAGCAATATTATTTTCCGTAGAAAATTTAATTTCAATAAACAATGACGTATCAAATAGCAGTTTCTGATTCTATATCTCGCATTTTTATCCAGTGAAACCCCCACCCTATTGTAAGTTTTTATTCTTTCAAAAGCTACAAGTTAAAATGCCGTGCCCCTATACAGGATATGTGGCTGAACTTTTTGTAAAGGTTTGATTACAGGGTTGACTATTTGAGCTAGTAGGTAGTATAGGAATAGGGTTCTCCTAATCACACATTACACTCGATTTATCTCCATCTGTCATTTTCACTGACAATCCTCAGCTTTCTATTATCAAAATAAGCCTTAATCTGAATCCTTTTTATTAAAGATTCCTTGTTCACTGCTGAGTTGGTCACACTCATTGTCAAATATTAACCTTAGAGATATAAACTTCATAGTTAATATTACAGTGAAAGGTTCCATGTGATATTTTTAGATAAATTTTTTAAACATTATTATTAATAATTTGTAATAATATTTACTTTTATATTAATTTCATATTTATAGTTTCTTTATATTGAAATTTTACTGAGTAGAGTTACCAAAAAAAATGAGAGTAAACATTACTAAAAAAAATTATTTTTAGTAATAATACTATTCACAATTGTTATTCCTTTAATAATATGAGCATTAGGAATAATTAGAAAGAATATTGATACATATATTAAGAAATTCCCAGGAAACCCTGTTGTATTCAAAATACAACAAAATTGTGCTTGTGGCACTGGTCACACACTTAGAGAATAAATTTTCTCAATATATATTCTCAATATCCCCAATAACTTTCTAAAAAAAAACCTTTTTTCCCTCAGGTCTCAGGTAAATGATTTTGTAAAGAATTGTATCAAAAAACAGCACTACTTAAGTGGACTGCTCCACTTGTGAAAAAAAAAGCAGGGTAATATTTTTTGTTGTTTATCATTCATTAGATATTCCTCAGGTACCTCAACGGGTTGTAATGGTTAACAAGTTTGTCTCGCTAGAACAATTACAATTGAGTAGTGACTTCAGTCTTCATTGAGTGCCCCATACTTTTGGCCTTGTGCCACATCTAAGCGACACTTAGAAAATCACCATTAGACATTCCTCAAGTCTGATATTTATCAGAATCGAAAAAGTATTGATTTTTTATCCTTTTAGAAGTGGGGGACCTCTTCACAATATTGATAGAGAGTAAAATCGATCCTTGACTTAATTTTTTTGCATAGGAAAATACTTTTATTATAAGATTTATTTTAAATCAAGAACAAATTGGTATATACACTTTTAACTAAAGAACAAAAATTTACATGAAATAATAATATACTTGTTCATTATTCATTTAAGATAAATAATTATTATACAACAATACTTGTGCATGGGCTTCCCCCAGCCAAAAAAAAAAAAACGTTTTTTTTTTAAAAAAAGTACAAAAAATTCAGGAAATTAAAATAACATATATGCAAATATCAATGATGTAAACACAGTTTCAAATTTTATTTGTTGTTGATATAAAATGACTGCAATTTGACACTGGCATTTATTTTGATACCAATTTCTGGTGTGGTTTAGATTGAAACCTTGTATTGTTCAATTGTGAGTCAGGGTTTGTTGAATGTAGACATTTTGTCCTCAAATAAAAGATGGAAGGATGAAAAGTTATACTTTTGCCATATTATGCTCTATGAATGTCCAAAAGGAAGAGGCATCAGAACTGTAACAAAAAAAATTCAGAAGGTTTATCTGGATCATTCTCCAGCTCTTTGGATGGTCAAAAAGGTGTTTGGTGGATGTCGTTAAGGTGAGTTTAACTTAAATGATCAACCATATTCTAGGTGAACTTCTGATGTCGATGAAGATCTTCTGCCTGTCATCGTGGAGAATAAGCCAAAGATTTTAATGGAAGAGATTGCTAAGAGTTTGAAAATCAATATCTCAACTGCCTTTCTCTATTTGAAGAGACTTAAGTCTATTTCCAAACTTGACATGTGAGTACCACATTCTCTGATTGAACAAAATATTCTCAATTGTGTTTCTGTGATCATTTCCTTGCTGTTACATCACAAAAAAGATTCATTCTTTGACAGAATTGTTACAGGCAATGAAAAATGGATCATTTATGATAATGTTCAATGCAGACAGAGATGTAAACAAGCTTGTGAATGTGCAGAAGCCATGGCTAAAGCAGCCTTACATCCAAGGTATTTATGTCCATTTGGTACAATAGCAGATTATTCACTTTGAATTTCTTCCATCCAATAAAGGTCTTCATGTCCATTTGGTACAATAGCAGATTATTCACTTTGAATTTCTTCCATCCAATGAAGGTCTTCATGTCCATTTGGTACAATAGCAGATTATTCACTTTGAACTTCTTCCATCCATTTGGTACAATTGCAGATTATTCATTTTGAACTTGTTCCATCCAATGAAGATCTTCATGTCCATTTGATACAATTGCAAATTATTCATTTTAAACTTCTTCCATCCAATGAAAGTCTTCATGTCCATTTGGTACAATTGCAGATTATTCACTTTGAACTTCTTCCATCTAATGAAGGTCTTCATGTCCATTTGGTATGATTGCAGATTATTCACTTTAAGTTTCTTTCAACTGGCAAAAAAATAGCTGCAAAGAAGTATTGCCTCCAATTCACCAATCTCAATGCAGCTATTCAAGAAAAATATCTGATTTTGGCAAATCGAAAAGGCATCATTTTCTACCAAAGCAATGCAAGGCAGCTTATTGCAAAACAGATCTTTCAGAAATGGAGTGCCACCCTTCAGCACCCACTGTATTCTTCTGACTTCGTTCTTTCTATTTTCATTTCTTCCAGTCTCTACAGAACAAGTTAAATGACAAAAGATTTGGTTCTGTACAGTCAGCTGAAAAATATTTCACAACCTTCTTCCAACAAAAAACATGAAATTTTGCAGACAAATTAGTTTCAAATGGGCAGAGATAATTTCTCCTTCTCTCTCTTAGTACCTCATCTAAGACTGTAGCTTTGGCTGTCTCTTTGACAAATCTGATTTTTAAATCAAGTTGAAAGCATAAAATTACGTACAAAATATTTCAGTTTTGGCATTAAATAACCCATAGAGGTGTTGATATGCTACTAAACAAAATCAACCAACTAACTTTTCTATTTTAATATATACTGCTTGCTTCTCTTTCCAGAAATTCAGAGAAATTGTGGACCTGAGGCTACGTTTTTCTCTTGTGAATACTTTATAGATGACAAAACCTATTGTTTCCTGCCAGACCCAATGCCAACCACAAAAGGTAAGAAAACATTATTCACCAAAATTAATCAACAAAAAGCCTTGGCAATCATCATTAACAGATATAGGATAATTTTGTCTTATCAAATCCAGATCAACTTCTTACTTCTAAATATGCATTGTGTGGCTCAAGGAGAAAAAAAATAAAGACTCAATTTATTTCTCTATATTCGTTTTGATTCTATCGCCAATATTTTATGCGATTAATTTAAATGTGCCACACAAACATTCACTTCCTTTCAGTATGTGTTGTAATATGGACATATTTTAAAGTTATAATAAAATCTATTTATTTGAAAAATATATGCTTATGACCGGGGCGTATCCTTTTAGCATTTTGCAAAGGACGTGCAATAAATATAAAATCACTGAAATGAATGAGTAGAAGTGGTTTAGTTTCTTTTCATCAAAAGGATGCAATGCGCCCTTTAGCATCAACCCACTTATGGTGCATGCCACATGTTGGCCATCCTTGGTCTATATGCACAGTCTGACCAGCTTATTTTAGCTTCTTATCATTTTTATGTTTGCTTTTATAGTTTGTTTTTTTTTTTTTTTTTTTTTTTGCTTTTTAATCATTTCATCCAAGCAAGGTGATGTCACTAGACTCTAGGGGGGTTACAGGAAGTGAAAGTGAAAGATAATGAGAAGACTACAAATGGGAAAGATTGAAGAAAGAACAAAAAAGTTGGACAGGGTTCAAGAAGATGGAAGATGGCAATTGATGCTTTATTTAAATTTTTGAAAATTGCAGTTATCAGGGAAGCAAGAACTTGGAAAAGAGTTCCACAGATAGGAAGTGTGAGAAAAAAACTTTTAAGTATAAGTGGCGGTTGCATCTAGCTAGTTCAACAGTAAAACAGTGAGACCTAGTTGACAATCTAGTAGCATGCTTAAATTCCTGTAGTTAGGGGTACCAGTGAAAAAAGAGCTCATCAGAGCAATTGCCATGAAAATATATGTAGAAAAGACAGAGAGGAGCTATATCACATAGATGAAAGTGACTGAAGTCAAGATGCCGGATCAGGATTGATTATATTACAGACCATTCTTTGAATTTTGCCAAGAATCTCAAGATGTACAGCAGGGCACCAGACCAGCAGCAACAGTATTCAATGTACAGACATTGTTTTTTAAATATCCTATGTTATAATAAAAGCAGTTTTATTAAGAAAAGTGAAATGCTGTATGGAAATTTACTGTGAGCAACTCAGAAATTAATGAACTTTTTATACATTTTCATCTTAAAACACAGACTCTTATTTAAATTAAAACTGCATTCTTTAAGTTGAAATTATGGTTAAACTCATTACAACGAATAAAATTTGCACACACAGACACACACACCACACACAGAGAGGGTGCGATTTTGTCGCCATTTTCTAACTTTTGCACATATACTGTTTGTTTGTTTTTGATTTTGACATTTGCACTATATATTAGGGTCAGTTGGGCGCCATCTATGCAAAAAAGAGCACCATGACGCAATTCACTCAGCCAGTAATTTGGAAACAGCATGCTGTACTGCTTTCCAATATGAACATTTCAGAGTGTTTGGGTGTAAAATCTGAGGACAATGCTGAGGATTCGGAAAGAGTTGGAAGAGTGTTGTGGTGTTACAAAGGTATGGCAGCTTGGAAAACTCACTCTGATCATTCTGATAAGAAAAAGAACTTCCAAATTTGTTGGTGAGGACCTCAAATTCAATGCAGAGGCCAAAATCAAGTGCCTTTATTTGGGTAAAAAGGATGACTGCTGGAAGATATGTCTGACAACACCTGAACCATGCCACAAAAGCAGAATAACCCCGTCATGGCTATCAGACAATTTCTGTGATATCAACCCTTACATCTGACCACCTAACTCCCTAGATTGCAAAGATTATTATTGCCAGGTGCAGTTGAGCAAGTGACCAACAAAACTCCTTGTAACACCAAAGATGAACTGAAGGTGATTACAAGCATTCACCAATAAACAAGGAGACCATCCAGAAGAGATTCTGAAATCATCTAGAAGCCAGTATTGAAACCAAAATTTTATTGAATAAATTTACTCTTTAGTATATCAAATATTTTTGTGTAATTTTGGTAAATATATCTGTTAAAAAATGAGATGTCAGTGTTATTTTATTTTTGCATAATTTAGCAATTACAATTGTATTACATCTCCACCCAGTAACCCTCTACCTGAATGAGCCTTGTAGTGGTGAACATTAGTAAAAAAAAAAAAAAATTAAAATCATTTAATGTCAACATATTTTGTTCCTTGAAATATAAATGTTCATTTTGTTTCCATTTTCCTTAAAAATATCATCATTGTCAACAAAGATTACTTCTAAATATGCATTGTGTGGCTCAAGGAGAAAAAAAATAAAGACTCAATTTATTTCTCTATATCAGGAGTGGCCAACCGTTTGATTCTATGCGCCAATATTTTGTACGATTAATTTAAATGTGCCACACAAACATTCACTTCCTTTCAGTATGTGTTGTAATATGGACATATTTTAAAGTTATAATAAAATCTATTTATTTGAAAAATATATGCTTATGACCAGGGGCGTATCCTTTTAGCATTTTTGCAAAGGACGTGCAATAAATATAAAATCACTGAAATGAATGAGTAGAAGTGGTTTAGTTTCTTTTCATCAAAAGGATGCAATGCGCCACTTGTAAGCATCCAATGCACCACTTATGGTGCATGCGCCACATGTTGGCCATCCTTGGTCTATATGCACAGTCTGACCAGCTTATTTTAGCTTCTTATCATTTTTATGTTTGCTTTTATAGTTTGCTTTTTTTTTTTTTTTTTTTGCTTTTTAATCATTTCATCCAAGCAAGGTGATGTCACTAGACTCTAGGGGGTTACAGGAAGTGAAAGTGAAAGATAATGAGAAGACTACAAATGGGAAAGATTGAAGAAAGAACAAAAGTTGGACAGGGTTCAAGAAGATGGAAGATGGCAATTGATGCTTTATTTAAATTTTTGAAAATTGCAGTTATCAGGGAAGCAAGAACTTGGAAAAGAGTTCCACAGATAGGAAGTGTGAGAAAAGAAACTTTTAGAGTATAAGTGGCGGTTGCATCTAGCTAGTTCAACAGTAAAACAGTGAGACCTAGTTGACAATCTAGTAGCATGCTTAAATTCCTGTAGTTGGGGTACCAGTGAAAAAGAGCTCATCAGAGCAATTGCCATGAAAATATATGTAGAAAAGACAGAGAGGAGCTATATCACATAGATGAGAAAGTGACTGAAGTCAAGATGCCGGATCAGGATTGATTATATTACAGACCATTCTTTGAATTTTGCCAAGAATCTCAAGATGTACAGCAGGAGCACCAGACCAGCAGCAACAGTATTCAATGTACAGACATTGTTTTTAAATATCCTATGTTATAATAAAAGCAGTTTTATTAAGAAAAGTGAAATGCTGTATGGAAATTTACTGTGAGCAACTCAGAAATTAATGAACTTTTTATACATTTTCATCTTAAAACAGACTCTTATTTAAATTAAAACTGCATTCTTTAAGTTGAAATTATGGTTAAACTCATTACAACGAATAAAATTTGCACACACAGACACACACACTCACACACAGAGAGGGTGCGATGGGTAAATTGTCGCCATTTTCTATTTTTACTTTTGCACATATACTGTTTGTTTGTTTTTGATTTTGACATTTGCACTATATAATAGGGTCAGTTGGGCGCCATCTATGCAAAAAAGAGCACCATGACGCAATTCACTCAGCCAGTAATTTGGAAACAGCATGCTGTACTGCTTGGTATTTATGCCAGAAGCTCCAATATGAACATTTCAGAGTGTTTGGGTGTAAAATCTGAGGACAATGCTGAGGATTCGGAAAGAGTTGGAAGAGTGTTGTGGTGTTACAAAGGTATGGCAGCTTGGAAAACTCACTCTGATCATTCTGATAAGAAAAGAACTTCCAAATTTGTTGGTGAGGACCTCAAATTCAATGCAGAGGCCAAAATCAAGTGCCTTGAGGAGGTATTGCTGCCCTGGGTAAAGAGGATGACTGCTGGAAGACCCTATGTCTGACAACAGGATTTTGCACGAACCATGCCACAAAAGCAGAATAACCCCGTCATGGCTATCAGACAATTTCTGTGATATCAACCCTTACATCTGACCACCTAACTCCCTAGATTGCAAGATTATTATGTGCCAGGTGCAGTTGAGCAAGTGACCAACAAAACTCCTTGTAACACCAAAGATGAACTGAAGGTAAGGATTACAGTAGCATTCACCAACTTAAACAAGGAGACCATCCAGAAGAGATGCTGGAGATTCTGAAATCATCTAGAAGCCAGTATTGAAACCAATGACAATTTTATTGAATAAATTTACTCTTTAGTATATCAAGATATTTTTGTGTAATTTTGGTAAATATATCTGTTAAAATGAGATGTCAGTGTTATTTTTATTTTTGCATAATTTAGGCAATTACAATTGTATTACATCTCCACCCAGTAACCCTCTACCTTGAGTGGCCCTTGAGCCTTGTAGTGGTGAACATTAGTAAAAAAAAAAAATTAAAATCATTTAATGTCAACATATTTTGTTCCTTGAAATATAAATGTTCATTTTGTTTCCATTTTCCTTAAAATATCATCATTGTTCACATGTGCCATTCATTCTCAGCATCTTTCTGTAGAACCACATCTCTGTTGTTTCAAGTCTTCTCTTCATCTGTGATAAGATTGTGCAGCATTTACTGCAATATAGGAGGATTGATATTACATAGCTATTCAGCACACTTTTCTTTATTTCTAATGAAATTTCCCTTTTCCTTAATGTATTGTTTAGCTTTCTAAAAGCAACTTTCACTATTCCAATAGACCTATGGATTTTAGTGTCCCATTTTCCATCATCTGTTAAAGCACTTTCCAGATATTTAAATTTCTGTACTTGCTTGATTTTGATGTTTTTTTTTGCTGATGACCAAACATTCTGTCTTCTTACAATAGATAGTTAGGCCTTTCTTCCCACTTTCTTTTACTATCTTGTCCTGGTGTTTCTGCTGCTTTCTTTTTGTGTGTAGAGAAAAATAAATGATGATGAGGGTGGGGTCAAAAAGTGCAGTGCGATGCTCACCAGTAGGCCAGCTCTTTTTCTTCTTCTTCACCTCAAGGAAATGGGTTGCGTGGCTCCCTTTCTTGGCCATTACAGTGGGCAGTTGTGAAACAGACACCAACTCAGCCACACCTACTTCAACTTCCTCTTTGTCTGTCTGTCTGTCAATCCATACGTCAAACTCTAACGCATGCAGTTCGCCAAATGACTTCACTCACCCGTGCTGCTGGCACCCCGCTTTTTATGCTATTCCAATACAGCCAAAATTTGCATGTGTGCAAATATCGTCATGTCTTGGATGAGATATGTGCGCATAAATTGTCTCTTCATTAGTGGCCATATTTTTTTTGTCATCACATTGCAGGCAAGACACGTTCGCACTCATTTCGAATTCCAAGGTAAGTCATGTCTTTCATTACACTGTGTCTGCTATCAACATGGTATCATCCACATATCTTATGTAGTTAAGATTTTACACATCCATAATACTGAGACAGTTTATCTAAAATTCTTTATATTTTTTGTGTATTTCAGTCACTGTACCTGCCATCACAACAACAGTAGAAACAACTACACAAGGTAATTTTCACTTTTTCTTTTTAGTGGATATGATATATAATTTTTTTTTTCTTTTTCAGGGATATGATATATAAATTTTTATACATGACAACAATTTTAGATAATGGAATGAGAGAGTGAAAAAAAAATTCTATGTGACATATTTCGCCATCTAGAAGGACTTAATTGGATATAACATTACTTTAATCTTTTACAGAATGGTCGGTAGAAATGTCTTTTTTTTTTACAAAGACAAACCTTTTTTTTTTTTTTTGTTTTTGCTTATACTTTTCTGTAGGTTCCAATCATAGTGGGAATCATTGCCAAATAGTTTTTCCTTCCCAATTTATAGGCAGAGGCACAGAAATGCATGTTTGGATTTCTTCCTCGCCAATAAAATAGGCCGGTTCTCTGTTTCATCTGACTTAGTCCCAGTCTGTCTTGTCTTGAAATCAGAACACTATGTTTGCTTATCTTAATTTGTTGTTGTGTGTCAACCCCAATTCTTAGTTTGTAGACTTTTTGTCACATTACTGTTGTTTTGCCTTGCATATATTGTTTTCTTGTTTTATATTATTTTTTTCCCCTGTTCTTTTCATTTTCTTGTTATTATTTATTGCAAAGTTTCTCAGTTATGTTTGTTGGACAATTCCTCCATTTATTTACATTTATTCATCGTCACTCACTCTACAATTTTGCAATTTTCATTATTATAAATTATAAATGACTAAATAAATAAACATCTTGCTTATGTCGCTAACTCAAAAACTAGTTTTTTCTTTCCTCCTCTCTAAAGTAGTAAATTAAACTTATGCCCACGTCACATTGAAACACAGGTTCTCATATGATCACCAAAGTTAAGCAATGTTGAGACTCGTCAGTGACCACTTGGGGATACCAAGTGCTGTATGCTTGGATGTGAAAGTGGTGTGATGGATAGTGGCTTCGAATTGTTAGTCAGAGAGCAGAGTTCCAATTCCAGTTGGGTTTGTTATATTCACTTACATGCAAATATCCTTGGGAAATGTATGAATCCACTTTTTTCCTCAAAGCTATGGGCTAATTAGTTAGACTTGTATCACAAAATCATTATTATTTAAAAAAAAAATTTAAAAATATTTTCTGGCTTTAAATAACCTGCAAAGGGTTGATAAACTGTAAAAAATGAATCAATCAATCAATCTATAAAACCCAGCATCTACCATGGTCACAAAGTTGGGGGATCAGATTATATATTGAGTGTAATATAGAATTGATCCCTCACTTTATATCCACATTGTAATTTCTTGTTTATCAAATTCTGATTAGGTATGAATCACCTAATCTCCCCAGCTATGGATTAATTAATAAGACTTGTATCATTAAATCATTATCTCAAAAAAAAACATTCTTATAATCTAAAAATATTTTCTTGCTTTTAAATAACCTGCAAAGGGTTGATAAGTCGTAAATAAATGAATGAATCAATGAAAGTCAGGTAGTAAACTATTTTTTCTTTCCTTCTCTCTCAAGTAGTAAAAGTAGATTTTTATCCTGAATTTCATATATAGTAGTTGTAATAATCTTATATCCAATGAACTGTATTTTCTAAATAACATTTATTGAATCAATGCTTCTACATTAGAATAATCAAAACACAATTGTTGTTTGTTTATATTTATAATGAACAACTTAAAATGTTATAAATATAAACATTGAAGTCTAAATAGGATAATTATTATTAGAATTTTCCTAAAATCTTATTTGATTATTTTTATTTTGAAAACTTATCTTTATAAAATATAGAACTTTATTCTAATATTAACCAACCATTGAAAAGTTTACATTGCCTAAAATGAAGTCCTTATATAATTTTATTGAAGACTTTTACTAATAAATTACTTGTGATGTGTGTAATTTATGGTTTCCTCCTTGAATATACCATCACAGTAGTAAGACTATACATACAAGTCTATATATGCTCTTATATAAATGAGGCAAGACTTATTTCAATATCACTATCACAATTATTATTATGTTAAAATCAACAGTTAATATGGATTACTATTCGAGGAACATTTTGTTATATATTGCTAGATTGTATTTAAAGTATAAATTGCTTTATGTGAATTTTTCGTGGCCGAACAAAGGGAAAATATTTCTGAAAGTTCTTTTTTAAGTTTTATCACAACCTAAATCAAATCTGGAGGAAAAATGCAATGGTGAAACATCCTCAAAGGCTAAAGACACAAAAATATTATTAATAATACACATAATAATAATAATAATATATATATATATATATATATATATATATATATATATATATATATATATATATATATAATAGCAAAGGATATGGTTGGATAGTCACAACAGCCAGGGACTAGATTATTGCTCTGGGCAGTCAGGGGGCTAGAAATCTATACTTTATACACACCTTTATGTGTGTGTGTGTGTGGGAGTGTGTGTGTATGTGTGTATTCATGGGAATACTGAGTGTTGTTAGACTAAATCTTCTTAATAGTCCTTCCCAAGTGGATTCTCTCTGAAAATCTCACTTAGTCCTACTCCACCATCTTTGATAATTTTCTGATTGTCTTCTTATACTTAATTTGGAAAAAAAAATATTATTAAATCCATTGATGAGACTTGTCATTTAAAAACCCAAAGCTTTGCTTTGGGCCAGACACACACACAGTTTTAAGTTAATCTGTCTTACGATGGCTTTGAATTTGATATTCAATATGACATGTGAGTAACTATTTTTTTTTATCTTCATTATTATGAGAGTGAGTTCAATCCTTACTGGCTGCACTACATTATAGACCTGTGTTGGACACAGACAGATTTAATTAATATAGATATTTGTAATAATTAATATCAGTTCTTAAAAAAAAAAAAAAAATTTATTTGATAATTTGTTAATATTTTTATTGCTTTTGGATCTATAACATGAATTTATACAATAGACACTGTGACCAGAAATAATCATTTTTTTTTTTGCAATTTCTTTTTTCATATAATTATAGATTACGCAATCCTGATCACAAGTATATATAAAAAAATCTTATAAGAGTTAATGGGATGCAGGGGGCGGGGTAATATGTAAATTAAATGTAAATCAAACCACCTTTAGAAACCAAAACAAAATATGAGACATATAATAGCAAAAAATTTTAAAAAAATAATTTAATTTGAAATTTGTAATGTGGTGTGCTTTTTTACATGTTACCATCAAGTAAGTATTCTAGATTACAATCGTCAATTTTATTTTTTTTTTTACATTTGAACAAAATCACATTGTACAAGCATATTTGTTTTGGTTTTCATGAGGAAGGGGTTCAATTTAGATTGAATTTACATAGGCTGAATACCACCATTGGCTTTTATAAAATTTTATAAATTATCTTTTACCTATTTAAAAAAAATGAAAACAATTAGACTAAGTCTTAAAACAAAGATGGCAGAAAGAACTGGAATGGAAGAGATGGGGCAAAAAAATTGGAATGGAAGAGATGGCAAAAAGATTACAGGGTTTACTCTACTTAATTATCGATGCTTCTATGGTGAAAATTCTTCGAGTGTGGATATGAGTTCAATTCTTATTGGAAGCTATTTATTTTATTTTTAATTTTATATTGTTCGGTTGAGCAGAAGAGGAGGCTATGGATCCATTATTGGAATAAAAGGCAATATTAATAACATGAATTAAAACTAATAATAAAATAATAATGAAAAGGCTTCATCTAAAATACAATAATAATAAATTGGAGTGAAACTAGCCATAAAATAATAATAATATACTTTATCTAAAATGCAACAATAAGATACCATAAAACTAGTAATAAAATAATAATAAACAAAATATTTCAAAACTAATAATACAAGTACATGAATCTGGAATGTTTTTAGCCCCACCCACGTCCGAAAATCTGACCAAACTGCATAGTTTTGTTTTAATCCTTTCTTTGTCATACTGGGTACATTTTTGATAAAATTCTTTCTTTCTCTCCAAAAAATAATAATGATGAAAATTCTTCATCTAATACAATTTCAAAAACTAAAATGAGGATAAAACAAAAAACTATTTACATTATTCAGACTATTATCTTTCATTGCTATATTCACATAGTTTCGGCCATTGTATGCACCAGACTTCATCAGGTGATAGGAATTTTGAGCCGAACCCTTTATTTCTTCCACCAGGGTAGATTGTTCTAGTTTCACATGCCATGCCTCGTCAGTTATTTCCCTTTAACTCAACTCTCCAAGTTTTTTGGTTCACCACTGCTGTAGCCTGATATTAAACTCACAACTCTCTGGGTCTAGTCACTAAGTGTTCGGTTTGAAATTCCAGTCACCTGAAAAGAGCCCCCCGTGCATACGACAGCTGAAATGTTGTGAATATGGAAATGAAAATGAGGATAACAGTCTGAATAATGTAAATAATCATAATGCCTCATTTCAGAGATATAGACAGATACCAAAAAACTAAATGAAGTATTTGAAATAAATCAGAATTTACTATTGATAATAGATTCATTATTAAAATTTTTGTTGGAATTTTTAGGTGATAAATCTTCATTATTATATAAAATATTTATTTATTATTTCATTTTTTATTTTTACAGACATGTGTTTTTTATTAACTTCAACACCATGTGGCAGTTTATATCCCAAAACAATGTTCCCAAATATTTTTAATGACAAAGACTTAAATGCAGCCATGAACACCTTCAAGAAACTGGCAGAACCAATTCTTAAGCAAAACTGTTCCTCCCTGAGTCTGCATTATTTATGTGGGTTAATATTTCCAAAATGTGATGCAGGTTTTGCTAAGTTTTCATGCAATAGCACCTGTCAAGGTAAGACATTATTTTGTTTTTCTCTTTTTTTTTTTGTCTCATTTTTGATTCCCTTTTGTCAAACCAAAACGCTTACCCACTTCTTTTGCCTGTATGTAAAAACAGGAGTAATTGTTTGTTGCATTCTTTCTCGCTTTAAAAAACATTTAACTTCAAATAACAATTGACTGACTCTTGTTAACAATGGTTATAACAGCTATTTACTATTACTGCTCCCAGAGCAGTGGTGATAGTGGTGGTCTACCTGACAGGCCCAATACCCAGTTCACCTCGGAACTGCTTGGAAATGGACCTCATGAAAAATACTAATAGCATTCTAAACCCCACTTTTCTTCACCCCAAAACGGCTAGAAATATTTTTAGGATTTTATATACAAAGTTGACATTTTTTTTATACTAATGATCACCAAATACAAGGCCCAAGAGCCACTCAAGTTAACATTTTGTCTATGAGAAAGGGGTTGTAAGATGGAAAACACTTCACCACCCACAAAATAGCACAGACACTTTTGAACTCTGTCAAGGTTGAAAAGAGAAGATTGAGCAGCTTCAACCCAGATATGAGTGCAATATACCATTTTTGGTCTAATCTGACTCTTGTAAAGATAGAGCATGGCAGGAGGAGCCAGGTACTTTTTGGAGGGGTATAAGAATTACAACATTTTTCCTGTATCTTCAGGAATGGGTAATAAATGTTTACACGAATATCATAAACCAAGAAACTTGATTAATCTAAGACCCACACAGGATAAACTCCATATATTTGAGAGCCACGAGACAGACATGTCTCTGTAAATCTTTCTTACCTCAAATTTAATCTATCTTCCTCCCACTCTTTTTATCCTCAGCATAGAAGAGCAATGTGTTGCTCAAATCTTGCATTGAAATTAGAATTTAAATCCTTAAATAATTTTACTCTCTCTTAGCATTAAACTTAAATTTTAATCAAGTGGGGTCAAACTTTATAATTGGTAAATAATTAGAAAGCTTTACATTTTTTCATATCTACTTGTTATATTAACTACAGTCTGTTGTTAACTTTGGCAAAGAATGGCTTGTTAATTTTAACACTCTCTGTTAATCATCTGAGAGATCCTTTTCAACCTTCCATCAGCAGGAGAGTGACTTGTTATGGCTTTTCAGGATAACATTCTTGAATGACATGAAGTGGAAAGATTATATTGAATCAATTGCTAGTTCTTCTGCTAGGAAAGTTGCTTTACTTTGTCATGCTAGACAATTTTTCTCTCCATAATCTATCTTACATATTTATAAGTCTACCATTCATCCATGCTTAGAATATTGCTGCCACATATGGTCCAATGCTCCTGCTATATATTTAGAGATTCTTGATTAAATTCAAAGAAAAATCAGCAATATTATTGGTCCTGATCTGGTGTCTCAGCTTCAGTCACTTTTCCAACACCATAATTTTGCTTCCCTGTGCCTTTTCTATAAATACTTTCATGTTAGTAGTTCAGATGAGCTCTTCATTATGGTACATAGACTTTATGAATTTAAGGGCAGTACTAGATTAGCAACAAGGTTTCATCAGTTGACAGTTGAATTGGCTAGATGTAAGTTCTATGCTAATTGTTTCTTTTCTCATAGTTCTCTCTTGTGGAACACTCTTCCAGCTCCATGCTTTCCAATTAACTTAGGTCATCCTGATTACTCTTCTATTATTCTCCCTCCTTAATAATGTTTCTGTTTTCTAATTCTTTCACATCCAGTAACTCCTTGTGTCTTAGTGGCTTTACTGCCTTGCATGGGGTGAATTCAATTAAAAAGAAGCAGAAAAAACTATGATGTGAAAAGCACTCAGTTAATATATTTCTATAAGTCACACATTAGATGTCAAAGAGCCATGTGTAGTTCGAAGGTCAAAGTTTGACCTATTTTACCAAAGGCTACTAGTAATTTCATCTAGCTCAGTCAAAATATCTCCACAAGCAGTGCATTAAATATAAAAGAAATGGTATGTGAGCTGAGGTTTGATTTCTTCTACCATAGACTACTAATTTTAATTGTACCTAGTTCAGTCAACACAAGCCTCACATTAAATCTCAAAGATCCATGTGTGATTTGCAAGCCAAGTTTTGACCACACCTGTCATTGACAACTATTACTTGTACTAAGCCTAACTAGCTTATGTCAATATAAATTATAGATGGAAAAAATACACACACACACACACACACACACACACACACATATATATAGTGTTACTTTGAGAGAGTGCTTTTGAAGCCATAATTGCTGATTTTTCAGTGGTTTGCTGATAGAAAGGCATTTAATGCAAGAAGGCTTTGTGGTAGAGTGCTCGATATGGGAGATGGAGATAGAGCGGTAATAGAATTAATATGAAAATGTTTTTTCACTTAACTGGTAGGTATTTCCATCATGCTGACTTCAAAGTTTTGTGATATGTGACTACTCTTCAGAGTGGAGTTGGACTATTCTGCTGAATTCTATTACTCCAACACATACACACATATATATATATATATATATATATATATATAAAATATAATATGAATTTTTGTGTGTGATCCTTGTTATACATCAATAGAAGTGTATATATAAATATGGTTGACTTTTCCATATCTGTGTAGTGTGCTCTTCTAATAACAGCAGAAAAACCACATGTTTATACTAGAAATATCATGTGAACACAACTTTTAATTGTAATTCATTCTGCATAAGAATAAAGTAAGGTTCTCCTGCTTTATATTCTTGACAAAACTCAAAGAAGGCTCTTTAATGTGATGAGTCCTGACAAGTCATCTTGACTTCAATCATTTTCCAACCACTATAATAACTTCATTGTGTCTTTTCTAAGAATATATATTCATAGTAACTATTCAAATGAGCTTTCCTCCTTGATACCTCATCTGCATGATGGGCAAGTAGGTCTCATTATTTTAATGTTGAAAATGCAGCTGTAAGTTCTATTCTATTAGTTTCTTTTCTCACACTTCTCGCCTGTGGAACTCACTTCCGATTTCTTGCTTTGATTTTTTGTCTTCAGAAATTTAAATGCAATATTAATTGCCATCTTCTGTCTTCCTGAATTCATTCTCTTACTGCCTTTTCTACTCAATGACAATTTTTTTCACTCTAAGTAACTTCTTGCATCTTAGTGGTATTATGACCTTGGCTTCAAGTGAAATGATTAAAAAATAGTTTAAATATAAGATTTAGTTTTGTTTATTTTGTTTTTATTTATAATACTAGTTTATAAGCTAGCTCCTGTAGAGAGCTCTTAATTGGGCTTTCATCACAATAGGTAGTGAGGAGTAGATGCGATAGGCAACAATAAACTACAGAAGAACTCAAAATTAATCGCTGCATTTAAATATTGCATTAATAGTTAAGCTTACCTTTTAAAGGTTCAATGATAATTTTTCTGCTGCCACTTAATTTAAAGACGATTTGATGTACATAGGTCCTTACTTTCTGTACAAACAATTATTTTTATTTCATGGGTCACTTTCGCAATTAATTTCAATTATTCCCAAATTTATTTCCAGCTGTTAATGAAAGTTGTGGATCTGCACTAATTAAATGCACATCTCTAACTGATGACTCAAACCTCTGCTTCCTTCCTGAACAGCAGACAACAACAGGTAATTTTTTCTTGCTTTTAATATTATCTTAATAAGATTTTGTTTATGTTTATTTGAAATGAAAATACTTTTCCATCAATGGAATGGAAAGTTATAAATAAAGCCACTAGTTACAGAACAGAGTTAAGTTTATTTTATTTTATAACATATCAACCACAACAGGTTATTTAATGCCAACAAGACTTTTAAGATAGTTTCATGTGAATAGAATATGTATTCATAGCTGGCAATATTTTTTCTTTTTCAAAAATGTATTGCTAGTAATGTTTTGTCTTTTTTTTCAAAAATTGTATTGCTGGTATCTTTACTATAAAAATGTATTTTTATACTTGTTATACTTATAGTGTTTGCCCCAGTTTGGGGGTTAACTATTTGCCTATACCTGCGACCATAAGAAGTGCTACCATCTCTGCTTACAGGGTCAAGGTACTCAAATTGTGCCAAATGGAAAAAGATGGTTATATTTGAAAATCAGAAAGTGGAATAAGGGCTCAGTGGAGACATGCATAAAAGTATCTTCTAACACACTTTGGACTTGGCTAAAAAGCAAATCCATGCATAAATATATTTCTTCATAAAAAAATAAGACTATCAAATTCACCACTAATGTGACCATAATATATAATGGAATTTCACAACTTGGCTTGATCTACCCAGCAATCTTCACATGAAATTTAAATAGAAAATAAGCTGAATTGTTTTTATTCTTTAATTTGTTGTTAGTTTTTTTTTTTTACAGTAAAGTTCACCATTTACAAGGCCCAGGGGCCACTTAAAGTAAATGATTATGTTAGGAGGCATTTTGTGTGGATAGGAGTGGAAGATAATGGTTAATCCTAAGTATATATGAAATAAACTGTCACAACTGTTCCTTACAATATATTGGTGAAACTTGCAAAAATTTTATAAAACATATCTATGAACATAAAAAGGATTTTATGTATAACAAATTATAGAAATATGTTCGACTACAACTTTTGTTTAAAGAATGTCACACTTATTAAAAGAGAAAGTAACTTACTTAAATGAACATTCTTGAGAGAACTGTTATCAAATTTTACTAAAATATAAATTTACCTCCTATTTTTTTTTTCAAATATCTCCTTTCCTGAAAGAAATACTCCTTTTTGAAGCCAGCATACATGACTATAAAAAAATTTTAAAATTTGATTAAATTCAAAACTTTTATAATTTAAAATATGCATAAATTAATCTCAAACTAAAAAAGTAAAATAATATGAATAATAATTCCATTATATAAAAAATTCAACAGCAGTAACAACATTTACACAGTTTCATTTATTAAATTTCATCACTTAGCATCCTCCATAATTTACCTTAACTTTCAGTTAACCTGATGAATATTTGTGAGTGTTCTGAAATCTCAAAATTCTGAAAAGCTAACAACATTTTTACTTTTGTTTATAAATACTTGTTGCAAAATGTCCATCATAGGATAAAACATGTCAACTAAGATGTTTTCTTTTTTCTTTATTCATATATGTGTGTGTATGTGTTGTGTCGGAAACCTACCACCCCTCTTGAAGATGACCTTGTCTGCGTCTGTGAACAAAGACTTTAAATAGTGGCATGTCAGTTGACATGAAAGAGAGATAAACAGAGAAGTTCTTAGCTGAGCTAATTATTGAATACACAGGCGATTTCTGTACCTTTTTACCAACCTATTAAAAACCCTTTTTATTGTTACGTGTTATTTGGCGTTTGTCTCTACTAACCCCAAATCAACATCATAACAGTATGGAATTATATATATATATGTGTGTGTTTGTGTATATATGTAGGATTCAAGAAGACAGAAAATGGCGTTTGATGTTCTATTTAAATTCTTGAAGATCATAGCTAGCCGGAAAGTAAGAAGCCAGGAGAGACCTCCATAAGCAAGAAGTGTGAGGAAAGAAGCTGTTAGGATAGAACATATGGTTACATGCAGAAATTTCAAAAGTAAAATTATTAGACCTAACTGCTAATCTAGCACTGTGCTTACATTTGTGAAGCTGAGGTACTAATGAGGAAAGCTCATTAAAACAATTAGCATAAAAATATTCAGAGAAAAGGCACTGGGAAGCCATATTGAAACCTAGACTGACAGACACCTGAAGAAGGCTGAAGAACACAATGGCCAAAACGTTGTGATAATAAAAAGAAAGATGAAGATATTAGTCCAACTGCAAATAATGTAAACTCCTCATTACAGAAATTCTAAAAGAAATTGCATATATGACACGTGATATAACTTGGTGAACCAACATTACAGAATCACAAAGAAATGTACCAGCTAGCAGAAACCACATCACTAGAGGACTTTCAACAGCAGCAACAACTAAAATGCATCGAACATATAACTTAAAGAGAAAATGATGACAATGAAAATGCTACCACACTACCTCAAACAGAAGGTAGGGAAGGAAACCCCTAATAATGCTAGAAAGAGCATTAACAGCTACTGGACTTGAGAAATCTATTTTCCATAAAAACTGTTTTTAGAAAAAAGACTATAAATTTCAAACAAGTGCACTGACTGCTTGGTCAATGAATGTCAAATGTTTCCTTATAAGGAAACAGCTAATATTACCATTATTATTATGAGAGTGGGAGTGGTTCAGTCACAGAAGAAGATGAAATGAAACAGGACACAACCTATTTACTCCTATTGAGAAGAAGAACAATTAATTAGTAAATAAAATTACAGTTCAGGCAAAGATGTTAGAAGTATAAAGCTGAAGTAGACTTTAGAAGGAATCAGAAACCCAGGCCTAAACAAGAAAGAAGAGATAAACTTCTACTCCTTTTAAAAAGAGCAAGGAGTGTATGAACAGAACAATTGGTGAACCTGTCTATTGAGGAGAAAAAAATTAATATAAATAAATATTTAATAAATAAAATTTCAAAGTTCAGGCAGAGACATTAAAAGTACAGAGTTGAAGTTGACTTTAAAAGAAACTGGAAACCCAGGCCTGAACAAGAAAGAAGGGATACACCTCTACTCCTGTTCAAAAGACCAAGGAGAAATGTGAACCAGACAATAGGCAAACCTATCTATTCCTATATATATATATATATATATATATATATATATATATATATATAGAAATCAATTGCACCCTGTCACTGCAGTGGGTCTAAAACTAACTGTATGGTGAAAGTTCAAGTGGTTGTTTCAATTAATTGAAACAATGATGTGTATATATATATATATATATATATATATATATATATATATATATATATATATATATCATTGTGCAAATTAATTGAAGCAGCCACTTGAGTTTACTTTCTTTCACCAGGTCATTTGCAGAGGTGTGCAGTAATATGAATCTATTTTCGGGATGTGTGATGAAATTTCTTTGGCCTTGAAAAATATTGCGTCATCCGTGATTGCATTATATTTATATCACACCCAGACACTATTGTCCCAACTGTCAATTAGTTGTCCTACATCCATTGTCTGCAATGAATGTTACTCCAAGAAAATTTTTAAAGCTGCACAAGCACACTGGCAAACCTTACCAGTGAGCAAATCAAAGTACTATTAACTGGCTCGGAAACTCTCCTGATTTAAATCCAGTCAAGAATATGTGGTCAATCTGCAAGGAACAACTTTATGAAATGGACATACAAAGTACTAACATGTGCACTGGGTCATGTTTTATTGGAAAAATACAAAAAAAAGTAAATAATAATGGAATTATTCATTTTGTTTTAATTAATTTGCACCAGGGTGTAATTCATGTGTATATTTATTAAAAATGTTTTTAACTCGTCTAATTTCATTGTATTTTTCTTTAAGTATTGAGATATGGAAGTTCTACATTATTTCTAATTTATTTCTTAACATTTATATTTGTTTTTAAATTTCATTTTAGCTCTTGTAACGACAACTATACAAAAGACCACAACCCCTGAACTAGGTCCAGGTAATATATATTTAACTATATTTTACATTTAGATTTTAAAATATGCATAAAATTATCACTTATTCACATGCCAATATACATACAATGCTTGTTCAGAAGGTGTCTAACCATTTAATGTTAACAGACAAAAATAGCCTGCTTAGGGAAGTGATACCTTAGTACATTTTGAAACACTCTTCTTGGGGGCTCAGACAATAACCCCAGCATTTGTTCCACTTTTCAAAATAATCTGCCAGGTCCTCTTTTGTGATTGCATTTAACTGCCTCATCACATTCTCCTTAATCTCGACCACAGTATTTTAATAGCAAATTTAGTTTTGGTAGAAAAAACAACTCTCAACTACCCAGCCAAAGTCAGGATCCTATAAATAAAAATATAATTTGGTCAAGAAGTCCTTTTGAAGGATGTAATGGATCCTATAGGATTTTTTCCCCTTTTATCATTTAATTTACCTGGCCTTATTCTCTTATATATAATTTCATATAACAGATTCTTCTATATACACATATAAACATGCATGTACACACATATACGCATATAAACACACACACACACACACACACACATATATATATATATACACACACACACATGTATACACATACAAACATGCATGCACACACATATAAATATGCATGCACACATATAAACTATATACACATATGAACACATATAAACATATATATGCATACATATATACATATAAACATGCATGCTCACACATATGAACTATATATGCATATGAATATGCATGTTCACACAATTACACATATAAATGCATATAAACATATATATACTTAACATATATATGTAAACATATATATGCATGTAAACATGCAAGCCAATACTATATATTCATGTAAACTTGCATGCACACACATATAAATCCATGCATACATATATAAACATGCATACATACATATATAAGCTAAAGACACATATAATAATAATAGTTGATCACTCGTATTCGAGGATACCCGTCTATTAGGGTGGCTAACCATTCCTTATTGCAGACTCTCACTCAGGCACATTTGTGTTTGTTCAACACCCACAGAGCCAACATGTCTTTTATACTGCAATTATGATGAGCAGACCTTAGTTACAGTTTCTGGGAGAGAGTGTGTTATCTAAAATGATCAACAATCTGAACAACACCAGCACACTCAAAGCCTCAGTCACAATGACTTGTGACTTTGTGCTAGCACAGCTATCGACGACCCCAAGTGTTTTGTCTAGCCAAATTCACTCACAAGGTTTGGATCAACCCATGATATGGTTTTCAGGCAAAGATGATGTGGTTTTTCCAAAGATGCCACACACAGACCGATAACATAAGAAATTCTCCTTCCTGACAAATCGACCATGGTGAGATTTGAACAGGTCTCATGGTCAGAAAGCAAACATTCTAACCACTCAGCTGTGTGCCCATAATGTATATACACATATACACACAAGAATGTTGTTATTATTTGTCACATTTTTTTTTTTTTTGGACAATGAATTTTTCCTACATATTATTTACAACATGGGCTTTATTTTGTTTTCTTTTTAGATTCCTGTTACACACTCCCCGAACAAATGTGTATTGATACCGGTTATACTCGAATGATGACTCCAAATTTATTTAATGATATGGATCTGAATGATGCAAAGAAACGTTTCCAGGACATCGCTATTCCTATCATAAAATCTAATTGCTCTTCACTTATTACTCACTACATGTGTGGAATGATATTTCCCAAATGCGAAAACTCTTTTATCAAGTATGCATGCAAAAGCACCTGTGAAAGTAAGTAATTCCCTTTAGAATTCAATTAAAAAAAATGTCGTTATACTTTATCTTTCTCACTTCAGTTTAATTAGTTTTAAAATTTTGATCCGAAATTGGAATTAAATCAATGATGGCACATATCCTGAATCCATCATAAAAATTCAGGATGTGTAATTAGTAAATACTAAATATTTCAAATACAGTAGAATCCTTGACAACTGGACTAAGAATGCCTTACAAAGTCCAGATAGGAAGGGTTATATTTAGATTAAAATAAAAGAACTGAAATCAGGTTTAACATTTATTTTTAATGTTTTATAGTAAACAAAATAAGCTAATGAGGAGTGAAATATAACAGAAGTGATTTTAAGGAAAAAGAAATAAATTATGTAATGTTGTTGAAAATTCATGAAATTTAGTATGCCATGTATGCAAAACAAAAATGTAATGAGGATTTTTTAATTGCTGTTGCATGATGATTCTTTCTCTTCTAATGTCATTCTCAACTTTTACATTTTGTTTTGCTTTTGTTCTTGAAATGTTTTAAATGAAAGATACATTTTGTATGCGTTATTGCAATCTTCATAGCTGAATGCTGGTTTTCTTTCCATAAAACTGACAAACTTTTCAATAGCTTTTTCAATTTCAGTCCAGGTTTCATTACAATCATGCATCTCATTGCTATCTTGTTGCAGATGTGTCTCATTGTCATCCTTTCCTCTTATTCCTGTCATCTTTTGCACCAATAAGCATAAGCAGTTATCCATAGTAAATTTCCTGAAAAACAGAAATTTCAAATCAGTTACATATCACAAATTGTTCAAATATACATCAAAATTAAGTCAGGATTTGAGGGATTCTGGATATGAGGCACTCCAGATATGAAAGATTCTATGGTACTTCATCATATTGATCAGTTATAACAAATTTAATATAAGAGAAAAGGAAACATGGTGTAGGCTGCACCAGAGATAGTTTCCCCCAATACCACAAACTGCTACAAAACTAAAACATCAACCTAAAAACTCGAGTCATGTTCTTAAATAGCCTTGTCAGATTGAGACTTTCATATGAAAGTCATGCATGGTGCCAAACCCATTAAAAAATATCTAAACTCTCAGCTATATATACAAGCGCTTTCTAAGGTCAATGGTTTAAAATTGCTTTGACTATATGAAACCTGAGGGTCTTAGCAAAGACCGTCCTTCTTTGAACATTGTAGCCTGGTGCTACAGAATCACAAAGGACTGTACCAAATAACAGAAACCACATCGCTTGAGGACTACCAACAGCAGGAATGACTAAAATGGATATCACATGTAACTCAAAGAGAAAATAATGACATAATCAAGATAGTGACATTCCACACTACTTCAAATATAATGCTAGGAAGGAAACTCCCATCAACTCTGAAAATAGTGATAACAGTTACTAGACTTGAAAAATCAATTTTCCTGAAAAATTGTTTAAAGAGAAAGATTTTAGAAATTTCAACTGAAGGCAGCACTGGCTGCTCAGTTAATGAATGCCAAATGTTTCCTTATAAGGAAACAGTTAATATTGCCTTTACCATTTCAGTTTATTTTATTTTATTTTTTTTTTTAATTGGATACAAATTCCTAAGGTTTAAAACAACTAAATTTATCATGTGAAATTTTAAGTTGGGAGCTGTTTTTTTCCAAATTCTGTCAAACTAAGAAAACCTTCAGTATGTATCTATATCTCTGAGATGAGGTATTATGATTGCTTACATTATTTACATTGTTCAGACTGTTATCTTCATCTTCATTGCCATGTTCACAACATTTCGGCGGTTGTACACTCCAGCCTTCTTCAGGTAATTGGTCTTCAAGGAGACATGGCCCAGTGGATAAAGACACTGGTAAGATCCAGTGACTAGACCCAAAGAATTGTGAGTTTAATACCAAGCCACAGCAGTGGTGAACCGAAAAATTGGAGAGTTGAGTTAAAAGGAAATAACTGAGACATTCAGAAGAGACATGGTATGTGGAACTAGAACAATCTACCCTGGTGGATGAGATAAAAGGTTCAGTTCAAAATTTCAATCATCTTAAGAAGGTTGAAGTGTACAATGGCCAAAACATAAATATGGCAATGAAGATGAGGATAACAGCCTGAATAATGTAAATAATGTAAGCAATGGCAATGAAGATGAGGATAACAGTTCGAATAATGTAAATAATGTAAAAAAACCTTGCTATCACACATTTCATTCAGTAACCCTCTACCTTGAGTGGCTATTGAGCCTTGTATCTAACCTTATAAAAATCATTAAGAAATAAATAAAATAAAATGCTGCAAAAATAAATTTCAGAGTTATGCACTACTTAAATAGAGTGGTGCCTCATAAAAATAATATTTTTCAGGGACTTATTTTTTGTAGATAAGCATTCTTTAGAGTTCCAATTCTAGTCATGTTTTTTATATTTACTTATGTGCAAAAACTCTTGCAAAAGGTATGAATTCACCATAACCCCACCCACCCCATTATGAGTCAATTAGTAGGACTTGTATTATTATCTCAAAAACATTCTTACAGTCTAAAAGTATTTTCTGGCTTTAAATAACCTGCAAAAAGTTGATAAGCCATAAAAACAAATCAATCAATCACTGTTAAAATCTCAGAAGCAAGGTTTGGTCCATATATTTGCATATATTTAGTCTCAAATTCTTAAGGAAATTTAAGTTAATGGCCTTTTAGGCTTCCTCCTCATAAATAGGACTTCACTTTTTGAATAATAAGAATTATAAGTCACAAGTGACAGGCATGAGGATTTTAGAGTTACTTGCATGGGGCATGGAAAAAAAAACGTTTGGAACCACTGCTCTAGAAACAAACTATCTCAGCCACAAGGCAAGCTCAAGGAAGGGATAAGGTAGAGAATGAGAAAAAACAGACAAAGGTGAGAGAAGAGCAAAGGCATGCCATAATCGGTGATCTAATATCAAACTGGATTTATATTTAAAAAAAAATATGCTAGGTTGGCCAGAAAGTCCTTACTCATTTGACTACCAATTTCCATACATTGCGGTTGTTTGTTGCTCCTGCGCAGTTTATTCCTTTTTGTGTAGGACCCAACTGATAGAAATGAGTTTCGAAGAAAGTGGAATTAGAGTTTTGATTCACTAATGTTACAAGCAAAGACTTTCTACAAGGAATTTTGTGATACTGAAGGATAAGGCACAGTCAGTCAGTCGAAAGTCTTAAAGTGGTACACGTGTTTCAACTCCGAGGATTTTACCCTTGACAATCAACCACATTCTAGCCAACCATCAACCATTGACAGACAGGATTTAGTGGCAGCATTGAAAGTTGAATCTTCTGCAAGCAGTCATGATTTTTCACAAGACCATGAGAATGGCAGATCATCATGGACTTTATTTTGAAGAATAAATGTTGGTGTTGCTCCATAAAATTTTGTTTTCTGTCTACTTCCTAAGTGAGTCAGGGCTTTCTGGCCAACCTAATAGCCATTATAACTAACAGAACTACAGAACATGAGAGACTTAAATTTTTTAATTAATTAATTTAAATCTAGAGATTTAATGAAATTGACTCACTAGAAAAAAATCACTGATAATAACTCATTCTCGAATTGCCCCTGCCTTAAAAATCAAATCCCACCCCTACTTTGGTAACCACAGTTCTAGAGGTTGGTGCTTATACTCCAGTAAAACACTGACTTTTCAAATGCTAATTCCTCACTTGGAAGATTTAGAGCTATACAATACCTTCACCCACTATATGGATTAGGGTGGAGTAATGAATAGCGGCTCGGACTGAGGAATTGGAGAGCCGAGTTTGAATTCCAGTCAAATCCAATGTGCTAATACCCTTGGCAAAGGTATGAATCCACTTCTTCTTCCCCCAGCTATGGGTAAATAAAGAACAGACCAGGTTCTATAGCCTTGGATGGCAACTGGTCTACCGCAGAAAGAAATGGCAACATACTGCGGGTAAAAATTTGCTTTGTTAGTCATGTATCGAAAGATACATGATTGCCTTAGCATGTATCATGCATGGCACATAACTGACTGGCCAGAATAAACCAGTTTTGATAAAATGTATACATTACTATTTTCTTTATTTTTGAAGGCTGTTTAAATCAATTCTCAACAAATCAACTTTAGTTCTGATTTTTTTGTGTACATGTGGATCTCCTATTAAAAGCTGTAAGGGATTTCTAAAGGATAAAATATATACAGAATAAATATGACCAACTAGATGGCCAAAGTAGTTACTTAATCCCTACAGCAATAGTGTTCAAAGATAAATAACAAAAAAAGAAGGCAGATGTAATGACTCACTTTAAATAATTCTAAAATAGACCTTTTATTTTGGAGATTATAATTTTCTGAAATATTGATTATTAATAATCACTATTGCAGGAAAATACAAACTTTAAAATATGAAATATAGACTATAGGAATTTATATAAAATATAAAATTTAGGAGTTTATATAAATTATAAAATTTTTGAGTTTATATAAAATATAAAATTTACAATTTTATATAAAATATAAACTTTAGGAATTTATATAAAATATAAATTTTATGAGTTTATATAAAATATAAACTTTAGGAAGTCATAAAGAATATAAGTTTTAAGAGTTTATATAACATAAAAAAGTTATGAGTTTATATAAAATTTAGGAGCTTATATAAAACATAAAATTTAGGAGTTTATATTTTACTGGAATGATGATTAGGAATTAACATGATTCCTGAAAAATATAAACACTTACATAAAAAGTGATAATAACAATAATGATGAGGACAATAGTCCACATGTAAATAATGTTAACTCATCATCCCAGAAATTCTAACAAATATTATATTATATATTATTTTACTTTTTTTTTTTTTTGGAACATTAATAGTAAAATTCAAATTTATTCTGTTTTAAACACCTAATAATTTATCCGGTTGTCTTTTTCAGCTATCAAAAATGACTGCGGCTCTGCTGCAACATTAATAAGTTGTGAACAACTAACAGATGCAGATGAATTCTGCTTCTTGCCAACTGTAAGAAGTAAGTATAAAAGTGCATTAATCAGCCTGTTGTACACTCATTTGCATATAGAGTTCTACTATTAAAAAGAGACTGTACAATTTTGATTTGTATGAGAAGTGGGCAAAGAAAGAAACTCTGTCAAAAGAAAACATCAAGGCAAGACTAAAGTTTGTCAAGAGAAAGAACAAAATTTCTGAAGCTTTGGACAGATGAATCCAAAACAGAATTATTTGGCCACAGTAAGAGAAAACATGAAACTAAGCAAAGTAATGAAAAAGAGGTAAATTTCATTAGAAACAAAGAAAAGAGTACTACTCTGCTGTGTGACATCTAATTTTTACATTAGAATAGGATAAGATGCCTTCAAGAAAATAAGCAAAATATTAAGAAACAGGAAAATTTAATTAGGAATAAAGAAAAGAGTACTCAACTGCTGCATAATATCTAATTTTTTACATTAGGATAGAGAAAGATGCCTCCTAGAAACTAAGCAAAGTATTAAAAAACAGGAAAATTTCATTAGAAATAAAAAAACAAAAAAACAACACCAAACTATTGTGTAATATCAGTGCTGCAATATGGTTTTCTTTCCTTCACTTTATTTTTTCCCAATCTTAAAGTTGACTCATGTGAGTCAAAAGCTTGGATATATTTTTGATTTTGGATATTTTTCGCATCTGCAGCTACCAATTTTGTAGAAGCTGATCTGCAGTTTGGAAAAGACAATGAATAAATTCAATAGACTTAAAATATCTATGTTTTGTTGTTTATTTTTACTTAAACACACATGAGTCCTCCAAATATTGTTTGCAGGAAAACTGAAAAATGTCCACACCTCACAACAAAAGTGGCAGTTCCTGCAACAAGTTCATGGTTTTTAATTTCATCTTATGATTCTTAATATTTATTTGCTTTTAGACTGTGATCCTGATTTTGAACATAAATGTGTAAGTGGTGAATGTATCAAGAAATACCAAGTATGCGACAACATCACCCAGTGTACGGATGGCAGCGATGAAAAAAACTGCAGTAAGAAAACATCTTTAATATATTTGTTTTTACTTCTTTAACAACCTTTGTTTTTTGGCAAACTTAGAGCTTCATGCCTGCAAAAAAAAAACGTAGTGCTTATAGGATGGTTTTTCCCTTGACATCACTATTATTTTAACTACCTTCACTCCTCAGCAATGTTTATTGTTTAAAAAGCTGTGATTAGAATTGGAATAAAACCTAAATATATGTAAGTGAATTTATATATTTTCTTTCTTTCTTGAGAATTGACAACAAAAATAATAATATTTATTTATTAGAATGTTTATTTACATTGTTTATTCTATTATTTATTGGAATGGTTGGCAAAACATCAGCTAACTGGCAACTAATTCAAACTTTATAAAATGGTAAATAATAAGGATTTCCTTATAGTTGGTTCATATATTTTAATAATTTAGTAAATGTTTATAAATTTATGAATGAAAAATTCTTTTGACATTTATTTCTTTATAAATAATAAACATTGCATTAGTTTTAATACAATTGTATTAGTTTTTAGAATGCTATAAATGTAAGATTATTCTTGTAAATAAACAATAAACAAATAGTGTTTATTATTTTTATGATTAATGTTTGGAATGTTATAAATATAAGATTATTCTTGTAAATAACCATTCTAACAAATAAATAGTGTTTAATATTTTGTTGTAAATTCTCAAGAACAAAAAAAATGTATAAATTCACTTTTATCATACATTTAAGTTTTATTCCAATTCTAATTATTACATTTTGCCCTTTCCTAAATCCTCCCCATTTTCAATCTTCACATTCTCATTCACTTTGACTCTCTGTAATCCCCTGCATCTTAGTGGCATTATCACCTTGCTTGGGTGATTATTAAAAAAAAAAAAGGAAATAAACAGCCTAATAAATATTGTTTAATATTTTTGTTGTAAATTCTCAAGAACAAAAGAAATGTATAAATTCACTTTCATCTTTTTATTACAATTTAAAATAATTGCTTTTTAAAAAAAAATAAACATTGCCAAGGAGAGAAGGTAGTTAAAATAATAGCAGTGTTAATGGAAAAAACATCCTTTTGACAACCGTTTTTTTTTTTTTTTTTGAAACTCCATTTTTTGCCACTCTGTTTTTATTGACATTCTATTATTCTGACACTCCAGTTTTTTTTTGACATTCCATTTTCTTGACACTCTGTTTTTTTTTTTTTTTTTTTTCTTTTTTGGACACTTCAGTTTTTAGTGCTCTATTTTTTTGACACTGCATTTTTTGACACTCCATTTTTTTGCAGGTACATAGTTCCAAGTTTACCCAATTTTTTTTATTTTTCATATTTTTTTTTTCTCCTTGGCTTTTGCCCTTTTTAGAAAATTTTTTTGATTTTTTAGGTTTTTGCCTAATGTTTTTTGTTTTTCTGTTTTAACAAACTTTTTTTTTGTTGTTATTGTTGTTGTTTTTTCTTGTCTTTTGTCTCTTTTAAAAAATCTTTTATTTTAAAACTTCTTTTCCCAAAGAATTTTTTAAATAGATTTTCAGAAATAAAATCTTAATAGCTTTCATTATTATTATTATTATTATTATTATTATTATTATTATTTTCTTTGTACTGTGACATTGAGTCAGTACATTTTTTCTTATTACTCTTTCTTGCTTTCTATTTTCATTATGTCTTTTTATCACTGTTTTATATCACAATGCTCAGTGTCAATAAATTCTTCATCATTACTATTATTTTATTGTTTTACTTGATTTTATTATTGTTACTTTGCATCATAAAAAATAGGTGTAATAAACCCCATAGCAGCAGCAGCAGCAAACAACAATAAATAGGAAATAATGTAACTTTTAATGAATTCTGTACTCAAATCTTCCACCTCAGGCAATTCCCTCCAATCTCAGTAACTTTGTTTAATGTCATGTTAGTAACATAGTATTCTTACTGTATAGACTAATAAGAATGCAAGACTAAATCACTCATATATAAAATTATTGTTTATTCAACTTTGGATTTCATTAGTTGATATCAGTGAGTGGGTGTGTGTCTTGGAGGTTTTCTCCAAATTTGGATTCTCTGTCTCAAGTGGATATAAGAGATTCTCTTCCTTTTCCCTCTCAGATGGGGTGATTTTATATCTTTCTATCATTTGTTTGTCCCACATGTGCACATCATAAGCACGGCTGGGTCACCCACTTGTTTACATGCTAGAGAGTCAGGGGCAGCCATGAGGATCCTATGTGAGGCGTGAATCTGTACCCGTTGACCTGGACATCATTTTCCAGGTCAGCCCACTGATGCATATGACTTATCTGATGTCACACTGACTACAATGTCTATTTTAGTATCATCTGGGTGAGCCCTGTATATATTTGGATAACCACAAATATCCCTTATTGATATTATATTCAATTCAGACAACCTGCTATTTCTTGGCATGGAGCACTTATTACAGTAATGTTTGAGAAGATGGGACTAAATTTTTCATATTTAAAATAATTCTTTATTCACTTCTGGATTCCATCAAATAAATTTTATCTAAATCAAGGATATGTGTTTCTGGGTTTTTCTTCAAACATTTAATCTTTTTTTGTAAGGATTTAAAGAATTATGCTTCTCCCCTCATATGTCATATATTTATATAACTTGTTGTCATCGGGTTGTCTTATATATATATATATATATATATATATATATATCCTATGTCCACGTGGGTTCATTTTCTTATTCATGAGGGTGTATCAACCAACTTCCTTTGAGGCCCAATCCAGTACTTGGTGGCTTTGAATGAATCTGGATGAACCCAGTACATATTGGGGCCACTTCAGATCAACTCTTCTTTATCAAGCTTCCTGATGGACATTAACTTCAATTCAGACCTCTGGTATTTCTTGGTGTAAATCACATACTCCATTATAAATTGTCAAAAATTAATAACTTACTGGCAGATACAATAATGCTTTCATATTGGAAAGATTATTGTATTTTTGACAGACATTTATCTAACTATTTTAATTTATTTTAGCTTGTCCATTTGGCCAGTTTACATGCAACAATGGAAAATGTATAATGTCTGAATGGGTATGTGATGGTGAGTCAGATTGTGATGATGCATCGGATGAACGTGACTGCAGTGAGTATTTTTTTAAATATTACCATTTTTAAGGTTTCAATCGAAATTTTCTGTCATCCTCAGTAAATGGATTTTTTATCTGCAAAATAATAATCAAAGTAAAAAGTTAAAAAAAAAAATCATCTCCCTACTTTTGAAAAAATTAAATTGCTTATCAGTGGTTGGATAAATCATTTCAATAAAAATGAAAAATCTTTAGGGATTCCTTGTATTTTTCGACACCATCCCTTTGTTTTGCTTTGGCCTGACCAGCCAAAACTTTAGAAAGTCTTTTGGAATTAATTCAAGATATTGACTTTTCACATTAGCTCAAATGTTACCCATCAGTACTAGAAAGAGCAATAAAAGTTAATGGACTTGAAAAACCTGAATATCTTGTTTTATTAGGACTTTAAAAACAGACATTTTTAAAAATTTATATATAATATACACAGAAATATATTAAAAGAAAGGGGAGGAAAAGAAAGGATATGCAAAAAAATAAATAATTATTACTCACCATAAAATGGTGGATCAAAAAAAAATATAGCAAAACAAGAAAAAAGGGCTAACTCCTCACACTTCGGGATTCAATCAAGGACAAAACATATAAATATTTTCTTATTTTTCAGTTGCGCATATATTTATGTTTGTCCTCAATTGAATACTAAAGAGCGAGGAGTGATAGCCAATTAGCTTTTTTTGTTGTTTCTTTTTTGTTATATTTTCTGATCCACCACTTTATGGTGAGTAATAATTTTATTATTATTATTTTTTTGCTTATCTTTGGTCTTCCTCTTTGTTTTAATATATTTAAAGGTGTAAATTACACAAGTAAACACTAAAAAAATAAAGTCTAATATATATATATATATATATATATATATATATATATATATATATATATATATATATATATATGTCTATAAAGCTGCCATGCTGAGATTTTCCAATAAAGTATCAAATACTTGAGACCAAGAATGACAGCCAAAGATGTTGTACATTTACAAGTCAATGTCTGCTTTTCATATTATTATGATTCAATCACCTATCAACAAAAATCACAAAATAAATTACTTTATTTGTTTTAACAGATAAATGTCTCACACATCAATTTGTGTGTGATGATTACACCTGCATAGAATCCAATAAACGATGTGACTATGCAATTGACTGCCCTGATGGATCTGATGAACACCGTTGTGGTAAGTTTGGCTTTTCTATTTTTATTATATTTACTTATATATATTTATTTCTTTATATATATATATATATATATATATATATACACACACACTGTCATACACAGACAGACTTGGCATCATTCCAAGATTCTAACCCCTATGCTATCAGCACCCAGCAGAGAGAAAGACTAATTTTTGTGTATTTATTTTTTCATAAACATGCCATTGATCTAGAGGACTCGATCTGTTGGGAGAGTCTTGCATTATTAGCTGGAATAGCCACTGTTTACAAATTCGTGCTTTCTCTCCAGACTGCTCAACTGAAATAGATTTTTACCAGGAGCAAATGCATTTTCAACTTTTTTTATATATATATATGTGTGGGATATATTTACTTTTTATATATATATATATATATATATATATAATATATTAATTTTTTATATATATATATATATATATATATATATATATATATATAAGAAAGTAATTTTTTTTATATATCCCATATATATATATATATAAAATTATTTCTTATATATATATATATATATATATATGCATATATAAAAAAATTACTTTCTTAGATATATATATATAAGAAAGTAATTTTTTATATATCACATTTTTTTATATATATATATATATATATATAATAAAAGTTGAAAATGCAACTAGAGTTTTTAAAAATATCTAGAGTTACTCTAGATAAATATTCATAAAGACTCTTTTTCACACATGCACACACACACATTAAATGGGTAAATTATTGCCATTTGATATTTTTAATTTTGCACATGTACATTGTTTTGGATTTTGTTGACTGCACAGTATAGTAGGGTCAGTTGGGCACCATCTGCGAGAAAAAAAGCACCATGATGAAATTCACTCCACCAGAAATTTAGAATTGGCATACTCTACTGTTTGGCATTAATGCTAGAAGCTCCAATACGAACATTTGAGAGTACTTAGGTGTCAATCTGAGGACAGTATGGAGGATTCAGAAAGAGTATATATATGATATATATTAATAGAATGAGAAGTATATATGTATATGAGTGCACATTTATGTATACACACTCCTAATTCCATCAATTTAATGTTTTATTTTTCTCTCAGTGATAAAATCAGATGAAGACTTACTCAGTGTGGTTGTGAATGAACGTGATTACATCATCTGTGCTTCCACTTGGTCTGATGATCTTGGTTCTTTGGCCTGTGAAAAAGTTGGTATGGGGTAAGTCACCTGTTTATAATCAAGACATAACTTTTCACAAATCAACTGTTTTATCCACTCGGCCATAAAATATGTGTTGAAGTATTCCAAAAATTGACCTGACCCAAAGAGTTGTGAATTCAATACCTGACCACAGCAGAGGGAACAAAAACGTGGAGAGTTGAGTTATCCAGAGGATCTAACTGAAACTGAGATATGCAAAAAAAAACCATGGCCCATGGAATTAGAACAATCCACCCCAGTGCACTAAATAAAGGGTTTATTAATAAAATAAATAAACAGCCAAAACATTGTGAATATAACAATAAAGATGTGGACAAAAGTTTGAATAACGTAAATAGTGTAAATACTCACAATATCTCATCTCAGAAAAATAGACAGGTCCTGAAGAAGGCCGGAGTGTACAATGGCCAAAATGTCATGAATATAGCAATAAAGATGAGGACAACAGCCTGAATAATGTAAATAGTTACAATACTTCATCTCAGAAATATAGACAGATCCTGAAGAAGGCCAGAGCGTACAACAGCTGAAACATCATGAATATAGCAATAACGATAAGGACAACAGTTTGAACAATGTGAATAGTGTAAATTGTTGTTATTTTGTTTTGTAATTATTAAATCTCTTATTGCTTTTTAAGTTGGATCAAAGTTGTATTAAGTTTAAGTAAATTCTTTTCAGCTGTAGTCATTCTATTGATAGGTATTATAATGTCTAGTTTTATGAAGGCATATCATTTATTTATTTTTGTAGTTTTATGAATCTAAGGAGCTTTATGATGGGCATTAAATATGATTTATAATTTATTTGTTTTTATAATCTTATTTATATATTAATTTTTTTCAGCACTTTCAATAACACAATTGTTACAACTTCAAAATGGTCCATTCGTTTTGCTCATATTGAGCAGCAAGCTTCAAATGTTACCAGTCCAACAGTATTTGGACCTGTTACAATACGGTGAGTTATTTGCCCTTCATTCATACTGCTGCCATTAGAAAAAAAATAAAATGTGTAAAAATGGTGATTTGGAGAATAATGTTGAAGAATGTGTAGACTGAATATAAGTTGTGAATCCTACCAAAGTGGTCAGAATTTTGACGACCCAAATTGAGTGGTAGTTATGGAATCCTGAAAGTGATGAATTGTCTTTGTTTAAATTTTTATATAAGACTGAAAAACGTAAAAATGGGCAGTTTGAATGCAGAAGTAGTGAGCTGAAGGTTTCTGACAGATTCCTCCTCCTCCAGATACTTTTGTGTACTATGATTTCAATAGAGTGAGAAACCACCATGAAGAGCATGAGTAAGTAGCCAACCTGTTGAAATCCATTCCCTTTTTCTCCCTCTTGCTTTCTCTAAGAAATGAGGTCTACTACTAGTAATAAAAGTCTATTTTGGAAACAGTGTTTCAAACCCTGTCATGATTGGCCCTGATCTGGCATCTCGTCTGCAGTCACTCTCTCACAGATGTGTCATCGCCTCCCTCTGTCTTTTTTACAAATACTTTCATGGTAACTGCTTTGATGAGCTGTTTTCACTGGTTCCCAGACTTCATGAATTTAAGCGTTCAACTCGACTGGCATTTCGCTCTCACCCTTTCACTGTCAAAACTGTTAAATATAGCCGTCTCTTCTACTCCAATAGCTTCATGTCTCACACTTCTCGCCTGTGGAACTCCCTCCCCTTTTCTTGTTTTCCTGATAGCTACAAGCTCCACCTATTCAAATGTAATGTCAATTGACATCTCCAGATGCCTTGATCTATCCCCCTATCCTTCTCTTCATCCTTTCCTCCATCACTCCTCTTTGCAGTCGCTCCAACTCTCTTTAACCCCTTGTGTGCTAGTGGCTTCCCGCCATGCTTGGGGTGAAATACTTAAAAAAAAAAAAAAAACACTGAGAATTATCTGTGTTCTAAAAGGCCTTTCAAAAAACAGAATACCCAACTACTTTTAATGCATACTTGATAAAATCAATGATTTGGAAAATCTATTGACTGTCCAGGCAAGCATTTTGAATGATTTAATTACTTTTCTTCATATTTTGTGCAAAGATTTGTACAAACTTCTGTCAACAATGTAATTACCTTGAATTTTTAAACTGTTTCTTAGACTAATTTCTAACATGCTATATACAAAGATAACAGGTAATAGTACACACGACAGGGAGAAAGTAGATCATGTCTTTCTTAATCAATATTATTTTATTTAATACATTTAAAACAAATCAATGTTAGTTATTATTTTTGTTACTTTTCATTTCCTCCATATTCCAATTGTAAAGAAGAAGTTCCACTTAGCCCCAAGAAATGCTACTTTGTGCAACAGACTCCCATATAAATGCTTCCCTTAACATTACAATTTTAACCTCTTCAATTAAATGGTCAATCATTATCTATCCTTAACTTCCTACCACCTTCTCTTTTATTCAGATCAGACATAAATGTCTTAAGCATTTCAACAGTACCTTCTAATTTGAAATTTAGTATTTAAACATAAAATGTTAAACAACTGAAATTAATTACATAATGTCCCCCTCTTGAAATTCCTGCCTTTTCTTCATTTTATTCTCTCTACACTGGTGGGATTAATACCTTCTTTCTGAGTGATGCTAGTATCTAGGGCAGGGGTTGGCAACCTTTTGGAAAGACCAGACCAAACCAGACCAGAAAGCTATACATTGTCTCAGAGGAAGGCCATGATATCAAATGTATTATAATAAATTGCCTCAATCTCAGACTACTCTGTCCAAAAAACTGTCTTGATCTGGAAGTGTAAACAAAAAACAACAATGTTAATGTAATATTATTTAAACAATGTTCCTTATTTTACTGCAGGAATAACAGGATAACAACTAACACAATAAACAAAAAATGAAAATTCTTTACTACAAACAAAATAGAGTTAGAAACGGCAAATTATTTAATGAGACACTTGTTTCTGCTTATTGTTTGATAACTTCTCCACATCATGTGAAATATTTGTTGATGACAGGAGCAAAACATCATCCATGTCATCACCCAACCTTTTTCTTAAATGACTCTAGATGTATTTCACTTTCAAAAAAAGTTATTCACAGGCATATGTACTTCCAGATAATGTTACCATTATTTTCATATTATTTAATATATTTTAATTTCACTCAACAAAATATATTTCTTGTAGAAATCAGCAATGGATTCAGAATTAAATTTTCATTTAAAAAAAAATGTCATATTTAACTCCAACTGATATTTTTCTGCCACTTGCTCTGCAAATTAATTATATAAATAGTGTCCAGGTGCTAAGCTGCCAGGCCAGACAAAAATCTTTCATGGGCTGGATGTGACCCAGGGTTTGCAAACCTCTGATTTCAAGAATACTTATTGTTCTATGCCTACACATTTCTGTTTGAATTTCTGGAATGAGGAGTTATCATTATTTACATTCAGACTAATATCCTCATCTTTGTTGTTATTATCACAGTGTTTTGAATATTAAACTCTCCAGTCTTCTTCAGGTGTCTCTTGATCCAGCTGACCTTCAAGGAATTTTGAATTGAACCCTTTATTTAATCTCTGGTGGGAGAGACTTGTTCTACTCTCCATATATATGGATATCATGTCTTGTTTTCATTTTAGTACTGTTCAGTTATTGCCTGTCCTGTTTACACTAAATCTAAATCTGTACTACCCAGACCAGATATTAAACTCGTAATTGCTATATCACTAAATAAAAGACTCAAATAGAGGCATGGGGAAGGTGGGCTACTTCTGTCTTGCTTATCAAAACACGGATCCACATTCACACCAGCTTGTGGGACTGTAGGGTGCTTTTACAACAAAGTTAACAGAGACAATTTCAGATTTCAAAAACCAGATTTTTATTTCGCTCTTTGATTGGATGCCCTCCCAATAAAGATGCTCAGGTCCTTCACACCTTCTCCCCACCCCTGCTTCTACACACTACTGAGTGGTTTGATATATGACATACACCTGAAAAAGGCCATCTGAAACATTGGGATAATAACAAAGATGAGGACATTAATCAAATGTAAATTTTTTTTTTTTAAATCATTTCACCCAAGCAAGGCAATAAAGCCACTAAGATGCAGGGGCTTAATGAAAATGAAAGACTAAAAGAGTGAAGGAGAACAGGCAATAAAAAGAACAGGATTCAAGGAGACAGAAGATGACAATATAATACTGAATAATATAAATTATGTAAATATTGAACTACACATTTTTTTTACAAATGTTTAACCAATATAATGCTTAAGAGCCACTCAAGATAGAGAATGAAGTTGTTGTATAAGCATAAGAGGAGGAGGAGGTAAGAAGTGCAGTTTATGAGGATATGTAGGAAAGATAATGGTTAACAAAAAGTTAAGATTGTAATGATCAGATAAACATCCTCTAAGGCATCTGCTTCACAAAGTAGCAGTTCTTGGAACTTCTTTCTTACTAATGGAATATGAAGGAAATGAGGATGAGTATTGTGTCAATGAAAAAAAATGTGTTGATGATGAATTAATTTGTCATTTTCTTGATTCACTCTAGGAGCTATTGCAAAGACAATAATGGAATCAAACTGACTTGTGCATTTAAAGGTAAGTGCATTCATTTTCTTCCTTATTTTATTTAACTATTAAATTTTATTTTATTTCATGGAGGTACAGAGTCGATTTAAAAGTAACAGTAGAGAAAAAAGAATTCAAATATCTGCTGAGATATTTTCTATTCATTTTGTACTAAAGTTGTGGATGTGGATTTTTGACCCCTTTTTATTTACACCCCCTAGTATTTTTTGACATTGGATATACACAATTGATATATGACCCTTAGAATTACGATGTCAGATTTACGATTTTTGGGGATCTGAATTTCTATGTTGCTATTTACTTCATATTCTTTGTTTTCTTTTTTTAAAAGGTTGTGGAATTGCCCCTATGTTCAGCTCCATGTCAGATTATTCCCCTCAGGTAGTCCCAATGATTGTGAGAGGATCAGAAACTGCACCTGGCAGCAATCCGTGGTATACGTTACTTCACATTGGAAGCAAGGTGTGTGGTGGCAGTATCATAAATGAAGACTTTATCATCACCGCTGCACACTGCGTAAGGTGAGACATTTATTCATTAAAACTCTTCTTAGCACTAAGCAGAAGTGTAAGTGGATATAAGTCAAACTGGGATCTTCCAAACAGCATTGTTTCTCTAGTTACATATTTTCTATAAATCCACTAACGATCCTGTTAAGATATAAAAAAAAATGGCTTTGTTATTTAATGGCAACTGCTATGTGGAAAGTAATTTTAGGTGTGCCTAATAGATACTTATTTTTTTCAGGAGATTTTCAGACCTCACCCTCCTCAAATTTATTAAGACAACCTCATTTATTAATTTCATATTTTTTACCAGACCTCAAACAGGAATCATTTATTATTATACATGGTTTTTATTGTTTATGATTGTTTGTTGCATAAACAAGTTGCTTTATTATTTAAGTTTGATAATAACCTCATCCCTAGGACTTCTTGTACTTTCTAATGAGATAACAGAACATAAATATACAGTAATCCCTCAATTAGTGCAGCTAATATGTACCTTAATAGATATACACTAATTGAAAACATATTAATCGAATATAATAACTTATAGGAAATGATGTAATTTGTACCTCAAATTTTAGCCTCATTCACAATTAATTTCTAATTTGCATACTTTTTAATTCAAATATAGGTACATATAAAAAGATACAATAAAAATGCTATGAATTAATATTTATTAATCTAATTTTTATGAAAAACTTATTTAGAGTAGTTTATCATATGGTATTCTTCTATTCTTAATGTAAATGAAATGCAAATTTGTCAGCTTCTGTCTTCATCAGAGTCTGCTTCTAAAAATTTTCCTTTAAATTCTTCAATGACCCTGAAAAATTCTTCCAATTCCATTTTTGTCTTCTTCTTATGCTGGTATTAAAATCTTAAACAAAAATATTTCAATTTAATTTTTTAAAACAGAACCTTATGTTATATGTATTTTTTATTTTTTGAAATTTTCCAAGCATATCATAATCATTAATATTTTAACCTGAAAATTTTATTTATCATCTTTCCATAGTAAATGCATACATTTTTTATATTTTGATATTTTTTAATAAATGTAAATTTCTGTATCTAATTAAATAGTCTATTTTTAAGAAAAAGTCAGAAATTTCTTTTTAAAACCTTCAAAATAAACATGAAAAAAATCAAAATATTCAAAAAATTTTAATGGTGACAAATATTCAGGCTATGTATTTTTATTATAAGTTTATATTATAAAATTTATCTATTTATAACCGTCCATATTTTTTTAACACTGCCTTAATTACTTAGATAATGTAATGTTTGACAAACAAGAGAGTTACCCATTTTCCATTTTAAAATTTTAGAAAATTTTTAATTAATTGGTAACTATAAAAAAAATCAATTTTCAATTACTATGGTTAAATTGAAGAATGTTTTACCACACTAATCAAGTACTATGCATGCACTAATTGAATTTTGGTATATAAAAATTTTAGAACACTAATCAAAAACACACTAATCACATGCACATTAATCAAGGGATTACTGTTTTAGGTGAGCTTTTCTGCAAACAGATTAAGTTCTTTCATGGCTTCTTTGTATCCTGCTATCTTATCAGAAATTGCAAGAAATCCTGAGCAAGAGGTTGGACATGTCAATAGTAGTTCTGTAAAAAAATAATATTTTTGTGTCTGGATGGTTTAAAATGAGATACCCTGTTTGAAATTTCTTGAATATTACTTGAGAAAAGATCAAAGGGTAGATTATCTGAAACATTGTGGTAAAAACTACAAAGATAAAGATGCTAATCTGTAAATATTATTGATAATTAGTGTGTTGTATCATTTTTGATTAAAGCTAATCAGAAATAATTCTTGATAATCTTGTGGGCATTATTTTATAATTAGTGTGTTGTATCAATTTTTGACAAAGTGTTTCCTTTTTTTTTTACAAATTCAGTGGCTACCAACCAGAAAATATCTTTGTCTACTTAGCACCATCTGACCAGTCCAAGAAAAAACCATACCGAATGAAGAAGCATGTACACCGTATTGTAATGCACAACTTCACCTGGATACCCAAAATAAATGACATAGCGCTGTTACAGTTAAAGACTCCCATTAATTTTGATGAGTATATTCAACCAATTTGCCTGGTTGGGAAAAATGATATTTTCACTTCCAAGTCAAGTTGTTGGTCCTCTGGATATGGTTATACATCATCATCTAAAAATAGCTGTAAGCATTTTTTTATTACTTCTTCTCTTCCTCTATTTAGAGTTTAGGATTTTCTTTTGTACATTTTATCATTTAATTAATGTTTTATGTTTTGTGTAATGAAAGATATCCTTAAAATTAAATAATGTATGGTTAACATATAAGAATATGTCTTTGATCTTGTTAATGATTTGAACGCAGTATTGAAATATTAACAAAATCAAATTCACTTGTATTTCTGAATTAAAATTTGATGGCATACAATTCTTTTTTTTTAGTTTACTTTTATTCTTCATATTTTAAAACTGACAGCATATTCTCTCAACCATATGAAATTACAGCTTATTCTCTCACCGATATAAAAATGATGGCATATTCTCTCACCCATATAAAACTGATGGCTTATTCTCTCAACCATATGGAATTACAGCTTATTCTCTCACCAATATAAAACTGATGGCATATTCTCTCACCCTCATATAATATTATTATTTTTTTGATATTTTCTTTAATAAGATTTTAATTTTTATCCTTTCAATTCTCGTGTGCCAAGAATCCTGTGGATGACCCGAGTCCAACAATGCTTATCCTCAGGTGCCAAATAAAGATGGGTGGAATAATACATTTAGTAGAAAAAATCAAAAAGTGTAATAAATGGGGGTGGAGAATGAGAAATTACAATAAATGGTGGGGTCAGTAGATGAGGGGATGGTGAAATTACTAAAAAACAAGACTGTTATATACCATACCTATGAACATTAATTGGGTATGTTCCAATCCTCATATGTTGGACACTATTGTAAGTGGGGATAATATGCTTTCTAAGTATTCCACCACTGGCAGTGGTTTACCTACTTCATGCCACTGGTGAGTATTGTATTTTGTTGTTGTTATAAAAATTACTATTTAATTTCCAATCACCGTTTTGGTTATTCCTCATTCAGTAACCCTTTCTAGGTTACAACAAAGACTTTCAAACTACTCAAGACCTCAAAGAAATAAAACTGAAAATGAAATGTCTAATATTGTCTTTTAAATAAAATGCTTTAACAGAATTGAAAATATTTTCATCAAAAATTGCCAACATTCTTCTGATTCTATGTGCCATGTCTCTTCAGGATGACTTCCTATACTTTGTAACATTTTGTAAGTTTTGTTTTTTCATCATCCATCCTATTCTCTTTTCTGCCATCCATTTCCACAAGTTTGTCAGACAGATTAGTCACTGTCCCCTTCTGTTCCTCTTGCCTTCAATATGTCCTGTGAGTGTCAAATTCTCCAAAACCTCTTTCCTCATTATCTGCCCTAAAAATTATATTGACTTTTCTAAGCATAGCTTAGATGTGGCACAAGGTTGAAAGTATGGGCCACCCAGTGATTATTGAACTCACTACTCTGTCATAATTGTTCTAGCGAGACAAGCTCGTTAATCATTACACTACGTTGAGGTGCCCCATGTGTCCTAAAAATGTCCTTTTTTTGTTACCATTATCCTTAAAACTTCCTAACTACTCACATTTTCAGTCCATGGCATTCTCAGCATCATTCTAGCACTACATAATGTTACAATCTAAATAAATGTCCATAAAAAAAAGAAGTCAAAAATTAACAAGTGTGTAGAGATCCTTATAAGCTCAGGAGGCAGGAGATCCCTGAATTAATAAGCAGGTGTTGGTAGGTATTTATTTGGCACCTGAGAATAGACTTTAATGCTATCCTCTATCCCAATTCTGTTCCAGTATTTATTCCATGCTTGCTTTTGAAATAACTTTAAAATGTTCATGTACTGTACTTCAGCTATTTCTAACACACTGCAAGAAGCCAAGATGACCCTTTGGCAAACAAAGAAGTGTAACAGTAGCCGAGTGTGGAATGGAGAAATAAAAACTGGTATTTGTGCAGGTTATTATTCAGGACAGATTGCCGTGTGCCTGGTAAGTAAAATATATTCACAACATTTACAATCAATTCTCTTAATTATTACCTGTGGGGTGCTCTGAAAGTAATGCCTCCTAATTATTTCCATAGAAACTAAAAAAGTATTGTCATGGTGAAATAAAGTGTTTAAAAGAACTTGCCCAAAGAACAAATGTCATTGGCCATCTTAATTTTCAGCTGTAGAGTCTTGTCATTGAAAACAACAGATGTAGAAGCTTTTTGTGACCAGAAGAAGACATAAGAACAGATTTTGACTGATAAAGCTGTTGTCTTGTTTTATAAAGATGAAAAGAGAAACCAATCAGTAATAAGGACAGTGAATGACATACCAGACATGTGGTTTATAAACTTAACAGGAATTAGCACACTATGAAGGCGGCCACTGGGTCTCAGTAACAATACAGAATTTAATGGGCCAGGTATATTGGACAGTAGTATACAATAAATACTTTGTCACCCAGAGAAACAGGACACAATAAGTATCTATGACATAATATATTTCAGCATACCTAAACTTATAAACAATTTTGAAATTGTCCACAAACTTTTAATAATATAAGATAAAAAAAGACTTATTTATTCATATTTAATGATGAATTTAACCATTTTGAACTTAGAGTATTTCTTTGCATTTTTAAAAATCTTTTGCCTCTAAATGGAATTGTGTTTTGAAAATTTTAATGAAATATATCATACTCTCCTCATCAAGGTTTCTAAATATTAAATCAATGTGTGACATGGTAGGAAAACAAACAGTCACAAATTCAAGTAGTTCTCTTCAAACCATCAGTGCCATCCATTCCAACTCCTTCAACATTGATCTTATAGATCTGCTGCTACAGCTACAGATTGACTTTAATTTGTTAACAAGCAAGCATCACTATTCTCATGTATATTAGCAAAAAGCTTGCCATGCAAATTTGGTAGTGATGCCATCTATGTTGAGAGACTATCTTCACTAAACTACCAATTCAAGAGAACACTAATCTTTACTATACCAAACACACCCATGTTGAGATCTTTTATTCTTGTTAGTCTGGTTCTCTTCTACACAGACCATCCCTACATGATCAGATCCTTGCAGTGGATCTCTCCTCTGGTCTAGCTTTCACAGCTCAACAGGGTAATAATTGGTATGTTATTTTCAATATCTCAAAAACCAAGCTAGTATCATTTCATCATCACTGCTAGGATTGTATTTTCATCAGTCATAGTGAATGGTTCCGATCTCAATGAGGCCACATATTCTTAATGTTGGGTCCCAAGTTCACTGTAGACCTCAGGTGGAAATCCAAAAGGTAGCAAGACAAACGATTGCAAATGATGTTGGAATTTATAGAGCACATGAGGAAAGAGGACTTGGACAGTTTAACACTCACAGGGCATATTGAAGGAAAGAGGGAAAGAAAGGGAAACAGCAAGTAAGCTACCTAATGAACATGTGCAAATAGATGACAGAATGGGGACTGTGAGAAATAGTAAAAGAACAAATATTAAGAAATACAAAGGATAGAAAGTTGTGGAGAGTCATGATTGTCCATATCCTGAAAAGATATGACCTATAAAAGAAGATGGTGCTTTTTTTAAGTTCTGTTTCCAAGCAACAGGCATAAATATTACCACCTTAGGAAAATACATAAAATTAGAAAATTAAATCAGACTTTTTTTCTTTTTTTTTTCATTTCACAAGTACATACTTAGTTACAGGTGTTATTACATCATATCAATAAAATATCTTATCAACTACTCCAGAATCAAAAATTCTCAGGAGCTATCTCATCAACTCTACCCACTAATGTGTAGCATCTGAACTATTTTTAATTCTGTCAATGTTTATATAAGCCAGCAAGTGGAACTTTCTAACTTCTGGCCAAGTGGCACTTGCCCCCAAAAGTTTTCATTTATTTATTTATTTATATATGGCAGCATTGAAGATTTTACTGCATAGTCATTAAAACACTATACACTTCTGACTCAACTACTATCATTTACTGTTCTCTTCTATGTGGATGTTCTCATCCAGTCATGTAGGGAACACATCATGCTATATATGATAATTCCTTCTCTCAAAGCTAAAAACAATTATGGATATTTTTCTTGAACAGTGAAAATATTTTCTCTCCTAAAGCTAAAATTTTATGTTTTTTTGTAAATCATTTTTATTTTTACTCTTCCAAGGGTGACAGTGGTGGTGCATTATGGTGTAAAGACGAGCACAATATTGCTAAATTGGTGGGCATAACCAGTTTTGTGCCACGTATCTGTGATACTAAAGAGAGGCCTGGAGTGTTTACTGATGTAAAACTCTTTCTGTCATGGATTGAACGAAAGACAAGTAAGTAGCATTTGCCACTAAGCCATCTTCAATAACAGTTTTCAAACTAATAAAACAAAAAAAAAATTATTTTTCACTTTCAAAATAATTTTAACAAATTAGATTTGATCTGTCAACTCTAAAAGTCCTTGTAGCTGAAACAGTAGAGCAGCTGCTATACATAAGCAGGATTCCTACAGTAAAAGGGAAGTAAAAGAAAGTTGATGAGGGAGAAAATCTAACCTTGTAAAAATATTCAACTTGTCCATAAAGATAAAGGTAAAGAAAAGAAGAAAGCAAATAAAGAATAAATTCAAATTTTTGACATTTCACAAGTTGTTCAGATGTTTCAGAAAAATTGCTTTTCTTTCTTTAATCCAGTTTCTGTTCAGAAAGATAGTTTTCATACAATAGGAAATAAACTAGACATAAAGATTTCATAATTCCTCTTACTACTCCAACATAATTACTTGATACACTGTCCTTTTATTTATATCTGGCTGTAGCAGAGACTTGGTGACCCAAAAGGGCCAGATTTATGTCTATGTTTTGCAAATGTGGAGACGGTGAATTGGCAAGCTTCGGACTGAAGGTGAATCAGGCAGTATTTCCTGTGGGCAGAAGTGGTGGTGTTGCTTGTAGCCATTTTTATTGGCTGATTCTAGGCACTCATTGGCTGAGCGATGGCTGGGCCAGGTGCATAAAAGCACCATTACTCATTCATTTAGGAGTTGCGTACTTGAGACTGAGGAATGGAGATGATTGTGGAATTGATTTGCCTATTGGACTTGTATGCAGTTTTTTCTTTCTCTGGGTGATTCTGGCTGATTCTCACACACTGGAGCACAGACATAGTAGTAGATACATGAATGCACATAACTATTTAACAGAAAAATACTTAGCTTCATTTGTAAAGTATGTTATTTGAAGACTATAAAATCTAATAACTATAGCAGAAACCATGAGTTATGCCCCTTCACTATTTACATTATTCAGACTATTGTCCTCATCTTTGTCGCCATATTTATTACAACGTTTCAGCCGTTGTACAATCCAGCCTTCTTCAGGTGGTTGGAATTTCGAACTGAACCCTTTATTTTACTCACTGGGGTAGACTGTTCTAGTTCCACGTGCCATGTTTAATGAATGTCAGTTATCTCCTGTTAATTCCCCTCTCCAAGTTCTCCACTGCCTTAACCGGATATTGAACTCACACTCTTTGGGTCCTGTCACTGGATCTAACTAACGCCTTTATCCACTGTGCCATGTGTCCTCAAGGATATTACAATAATTATACATGCTTAAAAGTTGAAAATTTTGTAGATTAATAATTTGATATATACAGAGGCTTGTTAAGAGCATCTAGTTTTATGAATGAAATAAATTTATCAAGAATGCTCGTCACTAAATCTGAATTATTATATTTTCTGGCACACTGACTCCTCTGTCATGAGCTTACTGTGCCAAACAACATTTTAGTTTGGTTCTTAATTTCTTAGATACAAACAGAAACTGGTGGAAAATTTTCAAAATAAATTGTTAAGCATGTCATATTTATAAAGATTTTCTATTTGCTCTTTATTTAATCATTCTGTCAGATTTCATCCAAATTATAAACTCATGTAAATACATATATATATATATAGAGAGAGAGAGAGAGAGAGAAAGAGGCAGACAGACAGAGAGGCAATGAGAGAGAGAAAGGTGGAGAGAGAGAGAGAAATGATATTTCCCTTAGTATATCAAGAATAGACAGATTCATTGATTCATTGTTTTTTACGGATTATCAACCTTTTGCACATTATTTACAGCCAGAACATATTTTTAGATTGTAAGAATTTTTTTTTTTGAGTTAATAATGACTTCCTGATACAAGTACTACTAATTAGCCCATAGCTGGAGGAAGAAGTATTTCCAAGTGGTCACCCATCTAGGTACTGACCAGACTCTATGTTACTTAACTTATGCATGTTTCAACACATCGGCAATACATATATAGTATCAAAGCTTCATTTTCTTGAAGTTCATGTCTTAAAAATCAAGGAAGCCAAAACTAAATAAAAACTTTTTCAATTTGGGATTTTAAAATTCATTGATACATTTTTCCCTTTGATGAGTTTTACTTGTACATCACTTTTTATATGACATAATATTGTATAAGCAGAAAATGGCAATTCTAAAAATGTATACAAAAATTAAAGAACAAATAGCATCCACAGTTTTTCCCTGTCATTAAATTTCATGGCATGAAGGTGTTGAGCCAACGAAAGCCACATTGTCCCTCCAGATCTCACCGTCTTGGCAGATCATCAGAATATACTCCAGCACCAGATTAATCTGCTGGATTTCCTGGCAAATGACGTCCTTCCAGCATCTGTGTGATCTGTGTGCCAGTTTGCAGATGGTAGGTCGAACTGGTAGATGACTTTGGTAGGGTGGTCATCAGGTCATAGCAGGAAATGACTGAGCCAGTGAACACAAGGCTGTGGTGCAGAGATTGTTCTGTCAGCTGGTCCTCCAGAGGGTCCTCATTTGACAGAAAATCAGACCAGTGTACCCACTGTATGGTCCTGAAGGCATGAGACTCGAAGCCATAGACATGAGAGGCAAAGGTCTTACTGAGCGGCCACGTTTCAGTGCTGAGATATTTATTGAATCAAGAGATCTATTTTTTGTACATAAACCAAAAAATTAAGTAACCATTTCTCATTTATCATCTTTAATCAAATTGCATTTACATTTCCTTTTCTTTTTCAGAATGTCACTTTAGATGTAAGGATAATTCATGTCTATTTGATGATGACTTGTTATGTGACCGAACACCCAACTGTCCTGACGGAAGTGATGAAACCTTACTTTGCAGTAAGTATCACATTTTGATAAGGTACCAACATTCTCACTGAGTCATTGGTAATCTTTATTTTAATATGAATACAGGATAATAAAAATAATTATGACAACACTGGGGATTATCTTTGAGACACTACCTTATTTTATGTATTAACCAGCAGCCATACCCAGCTAGTCAATCAGAAAAAGCGTTCAATTAGAAAGGAGCAAAAAAAGCATCATGTCTGAGTCTATCTTCTTCAATTACTTTAAATTACTTTCATTAAAAAAAAATATTTTGAATTAATACAGTTACTGATATAGCAGAAATAGTCTGTATTTATTCAATCGAAGTTAGCTGAGGACATGAAAGGGTAAAACAGGCAAAATGAAGACCCACTTCAGACCAAATTATTTTGGAGTTTTTGAAATTCACTTTGTCAGTATAAAAGGCATGTAAAAGAGGATTCATTTATAAATCAATTGTTAAGTTTGATGAACATTGGTTGAAAGAGCAACGAAAAATAAGAAAGAAACCAGTAATTTTTCACTATTTATGTAGGTTTTCATTAAATGGGTGGACTCAGTTATCAAGTTAAATGACTGTTAAACAATCAACTTATTGTTGGCTACAATTGAGTGAAGTTTATATTAGATTGCTTGAAAATTGAGGGAAATTTTAGTTTAAAATTTGTGTTGAAATCTATTTGTGTTGAAATCAATTTTTCATTTTTCATGGTTTTTCACTAAACGCAGTGGTGTAGAAATAAAAATGAGGTATCATTGAGCTCATCATGATGGAAAAAAGTTGAATTTATTGATTTTTGATTGGTTTTATCAATTATTGATTATTTAAAAGTATTGATTTTTTATGCTAAGAACTTATCTCTTACATTATACAACGTATGTACTAAGTTTGGTCAAAATCAGTTAGATAGATCTCGAGTGAAAAGGTATCACACAGACAGACAGACAGACATGCCAACACACAGACATCCTCTGTTTTATATAGATAAAGAGATCCAAATTAAAACAGGTGTGCCATCAGTATGTGTCAAAATCTTGCTGTGAAAAATATTAAATTGGGATACTTTCTTCTGAATTCTTGAGATAGTAGAGTTATGAGGTTAAATAAACCCATAGCTTGAATTTAGATTCGAAATTTTTACTAAAATATTAGAGTATATTCAATCTATAGGAATGACATTCACCACACAATTAAGGGAATCTACAAAATTAACATATACACGCACATACATATATGTATGTATAAACACACACACACACACACACAAACATATATATATATATGTGTGTGTGTGTGTATGTGTATATATATAATAAAAGTAGAGACTAAGGTCAACAGGTGACAGTCAGGCCTGAGGATTGTAACCAAGCATGAAACAGACTGTCACCACTTGGGGTTCACCTCAGTGCCTACTTTTATATATATATATATAAATTCGATAAATTGACATCTAAATTATGCAAAAATGAAAATAACACTGACATCTCATTTTAACATTTCATTGTATATTTACCAAAATTATACAAAAATATCTTGAAATAGTAAATTTATTGAATAAAATCAACATTGTCTTCAACCACAGTCTCCAGACAACTTCAGAATCTCCTGCAACTCATCTGGATGGTCTCCTTTGTTTAGTTGGTGAATGCCACTGTTATCCTTGCCTTCAGTTCATCTTTGGTGTTACAAGGAGTTTTGTTGTTCTCTCTCTCTCAACTGTGCCCCACCCATAATAATCAAAGGGGTTTCAGTCTGGGGAGCTAGGTGGCCAGATGTAATAGGGGGTGATGTGGTTGCAGAAATTGTCTGACAGCCATGGCTGGCTTCTCCAGCTTGTGTGGCATGGTGCAGATTCATGTTTTCAGACACTGGGCTTCCAGCAACCACCCTCTTGACCCTCTGCCTCCTCAAGGTACTTGATGTAAGTCTCTATGAAGGCCCTGTTGGAAGATGAATGGAGGCATAACATCACCATTGCTAGTGATCACACCATGATATTAACTGGATATATCATCCAACTCTTATCGAATCTTCTGCACTGTCCTCAGATTAATGCCTAAACACTCTGAAATGTTTGTATCGGAGCTTCCAATGTGAATGCCAAGAAGCTCAGGGATCCTGTTTCCAAATTTCTGGCAGAGTGAAATGCCTCATGGTGCTCTTTTTCTCACGTGTGCAAAATTAAAAATATAAAATGACGACAATTTACCCATCGCACCCTGTACATATATATACAAATTTATATCAATATCTATCTACCTATCTACCTATATATATATATATATATATATATATATATATATAGATACAATAATAGTTAATAAAAATGAACATGCTACCGCCCATGTCTAAATGATTGGATTTCTCTGTATCCTTGGAAACAAGAAATTATGAATTATATGTGCGTTTAAAACTCAGTAAATTTAAAAATAAGTTATTCCAAAATTAGCTTGAAGATGAAACAGAACTAATGCTTTAATTTAATATCATAATTAAATTTGAAGTTTTTAGCTTCGGTTTTTGAAACATGGTAATTCCTGTGTAGCAAAGAAACCATATTTTAAATCAATTAATTTATAATATTTATGCTCTGTAAATTTACATTGAGCACTGTGTTGTAAAAATAAAAATATCAATAAGAACACGGATTATATATTTTACTGTTCTTTTTTTTTTATAATATATATATATATATATATATATATATATATATATATATATATATATATATATATCTTATGCATTGTTACATTAGAACATGCATATATCCACTACAAAATTATACATTTTTGTTTCTATGTCAAAAACGGGGAAACCTTTTTTTAGACGTCTCATCAGGTGAGGAATTATGGTGTAACGCTGTAATCCTACTGTTATATATATATATATATATATATATATATATATATAAATGGCAACAATTTACTCATCACACCCACTGTGTGTGTGTGTATATATATATATATATATATATATTCTTCTTCTTCTTTTAGCACTCATAATTGGAGTGGGTTTGCTGATATTTTTAACATCTTAAATTTTGGTTATTTTTGCTTTACTTTCAGCTACTTCAGTCAGCTGCTCATTTGATGATAAATTCTTATGTGGCTATAAAATATCAAACTGGACATGGAGTAAACCTGTCATTGTTGAGCAGGACTTGCCCAAATTTGACCACACCCATGGAGGACCACCAGGTAATAGAAATTTTCAATTTATCTTGTTATAATTCTGTGTCCCTTCCTTCTTTAGTTAGTGCATACATTAAACCCTTTCAATACATCATTAATAATGGACTATTCCATATTGATTACAAGGAAATATGGAAAAAACATATCAGAGATGCTGTTTGATGTTAGTGAGAAAAAAGAAAGAAATTCTCTTCCAATACCTCATAAATAATGGATTGTTCCATTTTGATTGCAAGGAAATATGGAAAAGACATATCAGAGACTCTGATTTCAGTGAGAGAAAGAAAGAAAGAAAGAAAGTAAAATTCATTAGGAAAGCCATGAAATTTTTGTGAGTATTACTAGTTAAACTAAATAGCTGTAGCAATATGCTTCTTGAAAATTGAGAAAAAGAAAACCATATTACTTTTTGCCACCTTAACTATATGATCAACTACCTCATAAAAAACATACTCAGTCACGCTCATGTATACATTTACTTAATTTATTTTTAGGCCGTTTCATTTATGGAAAAGCTGAAAGTGGCATTCTGCAGACCCCAGTATTCACAGTTGACCAACCAAATTGTGTTCGTTTCTTCTACCAAGCTCTAAAGGCACAATATAGCAACATGCATGTCTACTTGATTGATGAGCTCAATAACAGGAATCCTGCTATTCTGCTATGGACACTACCAAAGCAAAGCATGACCGACACCTGGAAAATGGCACTTCTGAATATTAATGTCACTGGAACTTTTAGCCTTAAATTCATATTGAAAAATTCTCAAGGCAGTATTGTAAATCTTGATGATATCCATATATCCAATGGTACCTGTTCTGAAAAGTGTAAGTTACCAATTCTAATTTTAAAAGACTAATTTTTTCTCTCTTTTCCAAAGAAAGTAACTGGAACCATCAAAAGAACCTTTTTCTTCTTCTATATGCTGTGATCTTTCAGGACGTAGACAACCATGGCTCTTCGCAATTTTCTTCCTTTTCTAGCTCTTTGCAATGTTTGCTTTTTTACAAACTGATCTTTAACTCCTTGACATCTTATCTGTTTACACAATTTTGTTAAGTAGGTTACTCAATGTTTCTCTCTTGCCTTCAATAAGTCCTGTGAGTATCAGATTCTTCAAGCTTTCTTTTCTCATTACAAATCTCAGAAATTTAAATTGTCCCTTTCTGATTCTAAGTATAAGTGTCCTTTTTGTTTCCATTTTCATTAAATTTTCTTTGTTGCTTCCTTGGCATTCTCAGTATCTTTTTGTAGAATAACATCTCTGTTGTCTGAAGTCTCCACTTCATCTTTAAGGAGATTGTCCACCATTCACTACCACTTAGAAGGATTGATATTACATAGTAATTTAGGACTATTTTCTTTTGTTTCTAAGGAAATTTTCCTGTTTCTTAATACTTTGCTTAGTTTTTGGAAGGCATCTTTCACTATTCCAGATACAACTTCAGATTTCAGTGTCACCTTTTTCATCACTTGTTAAAATACTTCCCAGATAGTTAAAGGTTTCAATTACTCTTTTTCTCTCAATATATCATAACTCTTCTAGATATGAGAGATCACAGCTCTCCACAACTTCCTTTCCAAATGCAGCTTAACCTAATATTTGTTTTATTTTTTTATTAAATTTTTAATTCTATAATTTAAAAAAAAATTATATTTAATTTTTTTTTTAAATTCTATTGTTATGCTTAACACACAATTTACTCACTTCAGTGGTGCTAAGCATTTCTTATATTACCATAACCAAAGATTTGAAAGAACGTAATACCTTGTATCAATTGTAAAATTTCAGCCTGGGGAATTAATAAATTCTAAACACTTCAAATACTTCAGTGCATAGATCAGTTATAACAAATTCAGTATAGGAAAGAAGGAAGTTGAACACAGGATAGGTTATATCAGGAGTACTTTTGTCCAACACATTGAGGTGCTGCGAAACAAAACATTAACCTAAGAAGTTGGGTTATATTTTTAAATAGCCTCATTGTATTTAGACTCTCATGTGGATGTCATACATGACATCCAACTCATTCATAAATCTATTAACTGTCAGCTGTATAGAACTATTTGGTCAGATCATTATTAAAAATGGCTTCAACCCTGTAGGGCTTAAAGAACACAATCCTTCATCAAATCTTATTGACCGACTCAAAAAGCTTTACCAAATAACAAAAACCACATCACTTGAAGACTTCCAACAGCAGCAACAACTAAAATGGATAGCACATGTAACCAGAAGGGAAGATAAGGATATAATCAAGATGTGTTTACGTCATTGATAACTGCATACTATTGGTGTCCTTTTTCCCAATTCGTGGTAATATGTGGTTGTCAATGATGTAAGCACAGTTTCAATTTTTTTTTATAAATAAAAACTATGTATAGATAACACTTTAAAATGTCAGGGATTAATTTGACACTGTATTTATATTATGAACAGGACCCCCACTTCTGAAATGATAAATAATCTATATTTTTGACACTGAAAAATGTGAGGAGTGAAACTTTAATGAATGCTAAAATACAAAAATCTTCCTTATTTATTACTAGCAGTCCAGTTAAGCTCAGTAGAGACAAAGAAACTGATTGAATTGACACATCTGAATCTATTCCAAGTATGATGAGACACGTTTTTAGGGGCATTCAAACACTCATGGTCTGAACACATTGGTTGAAATACTGATCTCACAACCATTTGACAGTAACCCTGACCCTCAACAAGTTTAGTAAAAAGTTATTCCAGATGGCAAACACCAACAACTGTCATTTTTCTTAATATTAAAGTTCACCCAATACAAGGCTCGAAAGCCACTCAAGGTAGACAGTTACTGTTAAAATGGTTCTGATGAATGAGATGTGCAATACGAATGAAGGAAGAGGTGATAGAAAGTGAAGATCATGATGATAAAGAATAGAAAACTTTAAGAGGTTAAAATTGTAGATTTTAGGGAAGCATCTGTCGGGTAATCTAATCCATAAATATCAGTTCTTTACAAAAAGCTGCCTGAGTTATTTAAATATTTCTCAAAATTAATGCATGTATAGAATTTGAAAGTTGTGTTGGTGTCTATTTTATGTGTGGTGTGTGTTCATATGTAAACAAGAAGAAGCATACAAAAACTTGGATTTCTACTATGGACAATTTATTCTCTATTTTATATATATATAAACTGTAGTGAAATAAAGTTCTCAGTGTTTCTTGGGGATGTCTGTTTTCTTTTTGTGTCCCTGAATTAGGGTAAGTAAGTCAGTATATGCATCGCTATAATGGTTGAGCTCAAGTCAGCCTTGTGCAGAGTTGGAGCAACCAAAGAAAAGTTTATACTTACTTCACGGCAAAAAGTTCAATCATGGTTAAGCTCAATTCAACCTTGTGCTGAGTTGAAACAACCAAATAAAAGTTTGCATTTACTTCATTGTTGGAATGTTTAAGCATGGTTATCGTATGTCCGCTTTCTTTTTCTTGGTTCAGAAGGTAGGGTAAGTAAGGATAAGCATCATTATAATGTCAGCTTTGGTTATAATGATCAAGATGAAGTTAGCCTCGTGCTAAGTTAGAATGACCAAATAAAAAATTGATTAACTTCATAGGTTGAGGTTTTGAAAGACACGTATGAACACTATATATTGAAAAGTGGAAAGAGAGTTCAGTCATCAGAAAACCAGGGAAATGAGATGTTTCCCAGTGGGAACATAATTACCACATGGCATTACATCTTGGAGAAAGAGAGTGAGACAGGAAAATGTTTATCTTTTTATAGACTTAACCAGCACTGACTAACAGTATTTGATGAAGCCAAGTAGAATAATCATATTTCTAGTTCCTGTAAATGTATTTTTTTTCCTTTTTTTGTTATTCATTACTATTATTATTATTTTATTTATCAATTTCTATTTCCTTTCCCCACAGCTACAGAATTCCAAAAACTATTTAATTTTCATTCAACTTATCCATTATTTTATATTTTATTTATAAATGTAATGACTATTTTGGGACAATATTATTATAAAAACTACATTTATATCCAAACTACTTTCTTTTTGCAGCATGTCTTCCAAACGAGATCTCCTGTAACCAAAATAACTACAATGCTTTATGTCTTCCTAAAGAAGCACAATGTAATAGTCTTAACCATTGTGACATTACATCAGAAGATGAAATCAACTGTGCAGGTAAGAACATGTCATGGTATTCAATGCATTAACATCCATTCAGCTGATGAAAAGCACTTCAGGACTCTTTTCTTTGTTTCGAATAAAATATTTTCTTATTTCTTAATACTCTGTTTAGTTTTCAGAAGGCATCTTTTGCTGTTCTAATTCATCTTTTCCTGTGTCAAATTTTCCCTCATCTATCTGGGATTGGACAATAAATTGCCAAGAAGAGTTACAGTGTGGAGTCAGGAGGATGGAAAAAATTGTAGCTAACAGAATGTACACAAGTCAATACCCAATCAGTATTGGTTGGGTCACCATGGAGAGGAGATATGATGTTAAAAGACCCAAAATAGCATGAAACATCACTAATGACGTGTGCCAAAGCATCCAATAGATGTATCTTGCAAAATGTTAAAACACTTTATTTTTATTTTTTAATCAAGCAAAACTATAAAGCCAATAACATGCAAAGGGGTTACTGAGTGGGAATGAATCTTAGAAGAAACAAATGTCATTAATAATATAGGACAATAAAAGCACAGGATTTAAGGAGACAAAAGATGACGATTGACATTGAATTTAAATTTTTGAAGATCAAAGTTGATTGGAAACAAGATGCTGGAAGTGATTTCCACAAGTGGGAAGTGCAAGAGAAGAAACTGTTAGCATAGAAATTGTGGTTACATTTAGTAATTTCAGTGGTAAAATAATGAGACCTATCTTCCAATCTAGTATTGCACTTCAATTCATAAAGTTACTATACCAAAGAAGAAAGCACATCAAATCAAGTCCAAATATCCTAGAGATTTAAAATGCCATAATGTTCTTGACTTTGTTTTCTTTTTCTTTTCTTTTTTGTAAATGCCTTCTGGACATAGGCAATCATAGCTTTCCACAGATTCCTTTTCTTTATTATCTGTGATTTATTATGAATTCTTAGGGAAGACAGTGGTGTAGTTTCATATTGCCTTCTTTATTGTTTGGAATTCAAAATTTTCCTTCTCTTAGACTGGTTGTCATCCAAGGCTAGAGAGTCCAGTCTACTCTGCTATTTAACCCATAGTTAGGAGAAAAGGTGGATTCATGCCTTTCCAATAGGCATTTTGCAATTACGCTGTGTGCACCCTCTTTAAGTTGCAAAATGTTGCTGCCAAGGATTAAAGAGAGAAAATATCCTTAGCTAAGGATGCCTTATGATATTAGTGGCCCTTACAAAATTGTTTTAGATCGATTTTATTCAGGAATTGCTTCTCAAAACTCTTAAGTGTGAGCACACACACACACACGCACACATTCATAGATGCAGATGTACTCTCAAATATGCATATGCACACATAGAAACATAATGCATGCACCAACTAAACTCACTGAAGGTGAAAATGCCAATATGGCCAAGACAGAAATCTTTTTTTTTTTTAATCATTTTGCCCCCAAGCAAGGCAATAAAGCCACTATGATGCAAGGGGTTACTGAGTGTGAAAGAATATAGCACTCATCTAAATGCAGAAAATGATTAAAAATAATAGAAGCACCAACAATAAAAAAGAAGAAGCCAACTCCCAATAATATCAGTTATGAATATGGCCTCAATGTGCTGACTGTGTTCAGAAATTAAAACATTCCTATAGCTATAAAAAATAATCTACATATTCAGACAAACAAAAAACATCCTTGATAATGGCTAATAGTTTAGCCAAAAGCAACTGGACCCAGAAATCATTTGGACAGTTCTTACACTCTGTGTCCATAAAGGAAATCACCTCTACAATTGCTAGTAAAATATAATCAAAAGCTTAATCACAGCACTTAGTCAGTGGTCATCAATGAAACCTTGTAATGATTCATGCTTTGTTAGAAAATCAAAAACAAAGTTTAGCATACTCTCAGAAAACATTTATTAGTCAAATACATAGTCAATATTAGTACATAGTCAAATAGTACAAATATACTAATATGCAAATATACTTTAAAAATTCAAATATACTATACAAATAGTACAAATATAATATAGTATATAGTACAAACACATAGTCAAATATATAGTCTCCAATTTTTTAACTACTGTTTTCCATCGTACTACAAGCTTGTTGATGTCATTTTCATGTTTTTTGTTTTTTTGGAAGAAGGTTGTATGTCAAATTTTTTGTCATTTAAATTGTTCTGTAGAGACCAGAACAAATGAAAATCTGAAGAAGCCAAGCCAGAAGAATGCGATGGATGCTGGAGGGTGGGGTCCCATTTCAATTTTTTATGCTATGGCAAGATCTGTTTTGCAACATGCAGTCTTGCATTGTTATAGTGGAAATAAGACCTTTTCGATTTATCTCTTCAAAAGTTGAAAGTTAGTTGAGATATCCATTTCCAAACTCTTAGTAATCTCTCCATGATGGCAAGCAGAGTGTCTTCATCGATGTTGGAAGATGTAGCATAATCCAAATAAACCTTCTGAATGGTTTTTGTTCCAGTTTCCAAAATTAATAAAGCATAATATGGCAAAAGTGCAACTTTTCGTCCTCCATCTTTAAGGCATTCATTTGTGAACAAAATATTAACATTCAATAAGGTTGGATTTGCAACTGAATGATGCAAGGTTTCAATCAACAGAACAAGCCAGTAATCACCACCAAAACTAACCAGTGTCAAGTTGCTGCCATTTTAGATTAACAACGAAAATTTGGCACAAACTTTTGAAGTGATCTGATATATATGTATTTCATTTGTTAAAATTTTTGATAATATATTTTTTAATTTATGATGAAGAATTTTTTTTTTGACATTCTTTAATAAGATATTTATTTTCCAGATTCTTTCTACCATTGTGAATTTGACAATGGTGTTGTGTGTGGTATTCAACAATCCAAGGAAGATCTTTTTGACTGGTTTTATGTTCCAGCACGCACCATCAACAATATTGATCACACAACAAGGACTGCAGATGGTCAGTACAACAAATGAGAATTTTTTCATATTTATCTTGAGTTTTAATATCCTAAAATAAATAACATATATATATATATATATATATATATATATATATATATATATATATAAAGAAAGAATAATAAGATATATAATCTGGTGTTCTTATAGATATTTTATTTTTACAAAATAGTGCTCAATGTAAATTTACAGAGCATTAATATTATAAATTAACTGATTTATAATATGGTGTTTTCGCTACACAGTTCTAACCATGTTTCAAAAATGGAAGCTAAAAGCTTCAAATTTAATTTTGTAATTAGATTAAAGACATTAGTTCCATTTCATCCTCAAGCGAATTTTGGAGTCTCCAAAATTCACCATATTCATCATATTCTAAGAGCAGTCAGAATTTGTAACCCACAATATTTATATGAAGAAGAGAAAGACATTGAAAAAAACACTTACTGATTTGGTATTATATATATATATATATATATATATATATATAATTTATATATTTGAGCAGCAAATTTTCTTTTAAACCTGTTTCACTGAATTTGACAAAAAAATCTTTCTATATTTCTGAGATGAGGTATTGTAAGTATTTACATTGTTTGGACTGTTTTCCTCATCTTTATTGTCATATTCATGATGTTTCAGCCATTGTACACACCAGCCTTCTTCAGGTGATATATGTTGGAATTTTGAATCAAAACTTTATTTAATCCACTGGAAGTAGGTTGTTCTAGTTCCACATGCCATGCCTTTTCCGGATATCTCATTTTCAGTTACTTCCCTTTAGTAACTCAACTCTCTAAGTTTTTGTTCACTTCTGCTGTGGCCAGGTACTGAACTCACAACTCTTTGGGTCAAGTCACTGGATTACTTCATCCAACATTTTTATCCATTGAGCCATGTATCCTTGGGGGCATATGTCACCTGAAGAAGGCCCTAGCATACAACAGCTGAAATGTTGTGAATATATATATATATATATATATATATATATATATAAAGAAAGAACAGTAAGATATATAATCCGGTGTTCTTATAGATATTTTTATTTTTACAAAAAAGTTACTCCAAAATTCGCTTGAGGATGAAATGGAACTAATGCTTTTAATTTAATTGCAAAATTAAATTCGGGGCTTTTAGCTTCTATTTTTGAAACATGGTTAGAACTGTGTAGCGGAAAAAAACATATTTTAAATCAATTAATTTATAATATATATATATATATAGTCAGCAGTCAATATACCACATAACACCCTTGAGCGCTTAGCCTTGGAGCGGGTAGAATGGAGATCAATGTGTTTTAGTGGACTTTTCAATCTGCTTGTCTGAATCATCTTCAAGAAGCAAGAGCAAGATCTAAAAGGTCAGCCAATCTAACAGTGATCTCATCTCACAATCCTCACACTTGCTCCATATGTGGCCTCCTTTGTAAATCACTAGCGGGTCTTAAATGCCACTTAAGATTATCGCACAAACTTTCATAACTGAATCAATAAGCTGTCAGATCCTCATAAGTCGAAACCGACAGGAGAGTCCATTATTATTATATATATAGGATAAGGAGAACAGTCTGAAGAATGTAATAATGAAAAAGAAAACATCTCAAATTTTCTTTTTACATTATTAAGTTTTTCTAATGTTCTTAAAGTTTTCTTGCTGCAAGTACTGAGGGATTGCAGAACCTGTCCATAATGGTTATTGCTTAAAGTACTTTCAACCTTTTAGCCATTTTCAAGGGGTCTCTTGTTAATGTTTTCTAATATAATGTTATAAATTGTATTGTGTATTACTATTACATGGAAGAACATTAACAAAGGAAAATGAATTTTGTACAGAAAAATAATTGTTTTTTTAATAAACTTCCTTGAATATTTTTCTTTGCAATACTTTTAAATACTCTTGTATACACAGTGTATGTGTGCATATTGTAAAACTGTAAAATATTTATCCTTCAGGTATGCTGGCATATGCATCAACATATCATCCAAGAACAGATTCTTGGAGAAAACGTATGACACTTAAACTGAGGTCTGGAAACATACCACATTGCTTACAATTTTTCTTTCAATATGATTCAACTGCTACTCTACAGGTTTGAAAAATATTTAATTTTTTAATAATTTACTTTTTCTGAACAATTTATATTTTATTAAGATTTTATTGGAATATGAATTTTAAAACTGTTTTTAATAGGTTTGCTTGATTTTAATAGGTTTGCTTGATTTTAATAGGTTTGCTTGATTTGCTAAATAGAAATGCAAAATACGCAGTTCAAATTTTACTCAAGGTCATAATTATTCTTTGCTGTTGGGCACATGATTTAAAAAACATGATAAAATTTTTCTTCGTGAATATTACTTGTACTGCTGATCTGACACTAAATAAACAGAAAATCATTATTCAATCATAAATCATATTCTATTTTACCATATGACGAAGCAGCTTATGGTGATTTAAACTATAGCATTTGTAACGAATTTGATCCTATTTTGACATAGTGTCAGGCAATCTGCACTCCATAAATGACAAAATAAAAGGTGCCCACAGAATTTTTGCTAGATCCAAAAAAATGTCTCTCAAGTGGAACATGTGATAGACTAACATACTCTAAATAATGAAACAAAGATTGCCTCATGGAGAATAAAGATTAGTATCCCTTTCTTGCTAAACCTTTTACTTGTAAAGCAAGTTAGAACCAAACAAGGTGATGTCATACTGGACTTATCTATGCTCATTAAATAAGAAGGGCTTACAGCTATATCATTTTGAAACATCAGTTCTTGTCTGATCACCCAAATTAAGCAATGTTGAGCCTGATCAGTATTTAGATGGGTGACCTCTTGGGAATACCTAGATGTGTGGGTGGGGTAATGGATAACGGCTTGGAAATTGGAGAGCTGATTTCCAATTCCAGTTAAGATCTTTATATTATATTCACTTATGCACAAATACCTTTGGGAAAGATGTGAATTCACCTCATCTTCTCCCAAGCTATGGGTTAATTAGTAAGACTTGTATCAGTAAATCATTATTAACTTCGAACAATTCTTGTGATCCAAAAATATTTTCAGGCTTTAAATAATCTGCAAAAGGGTTGATAAGCCATAAAAAACAAATCAATAAATCATATAACGAGGCTAAATAATGAAAAAGATTAAATTATATAATTATATAACTTTTTATAGTAAAAAGTTGTTATCTGAAAATGGTATTAAGCTATGGTTGCTAGAGTTTTTTTTTTAGTTTTTTTTTTTTTTACAATGATTTTTCACTCTGTACAAGGCCCAAATGCCATTTAAAATAGAGGGTTAGAGAGTAAGAGGCTCAACTTATGCAGATATGTGGGAAAGACAATGTTTAACCCTAGACTTGAACAGGTTAAGATTGTAGTGATCGGGAAAGCAGCCTCTTGAGTGTCAGTTCCATAAAGCAGGTAGATGGTTACAGAGTAAGAGGCTCCAAAAACTAAGTAAAATATTAAGAAACTGGAAAATTTCAATAGAAACAAATGTTTAATATCAGTTTTATATGGCAGTGAACGTCAAACAATTTTCTCACTGATGAATAGGAGACTTGAGACAACATAGATGTGGTTTAACAGAAAGCTGCTGAGAATACCATGGATGAAGCATGTGAATAATGAGAAAGTTTCAAGTAGAATGGAAACAAAAAGGATGCTTATATTTAAAAAGAGATAGTTGAAATTTCTAGGACACATAATGAAGAAAGAGGGCTTGACACTCACAGGACATATGGAAGGCAAGAGGAAAGGAAAAACAGCAAGTAACCTACCCAACGAGCTTGTGTAAATGGATGAGAGAACAGACAGGGAGGGATAGTAAAAAAAAACAAATATTGCTAAGAGCTACAAAGGATAGGAAGTTGTGGAGAGCCATAATCACCTACATTTTGAAGGAACACAGCACATAGAAGAAGAATGAATATGTAATATTTTAATAATGTAAATTATGATGAATCTTTTCAGCCTACCCTGATATATCACTTTAAATATGACTTTTATTTATTTTATTAAAATATGCTTTACATTATTAATATAAATTAACCATGTTTTTGACTATCAACAATTTATTAAAATATGATTTTATCATGATCAATAAATGAATACATTATTTATTTTCTCGATGATGTTTTCTCAGCCAGAAACCAAAGTTGCGTCAGTTTTTCTCTGATTTTTTCAGCAATTAAATCATTTTTTCTATAGCTTTCTTTCCTAGAACTATTTCAAAAAAATCAATTAAAAATCATGTTTAGATAAGCTAAAAAGAACTATATATTTATAATATATAAAAGGATTATTATTGCGAGAGAAGAGAAAACAATACATCTCCTATCCTGAGAATTGTGAAAGACACAAACATAAGTAAACAAAATGTGAAATTTGGAAGAAACATTTATTACAATGATATAATAAAAAAACAATAAAACAGATAACAAAGTTTATAAACAATCTTGCACAAAAATTTCCTTTGTACACTTTACATTTAGGCAAGATAACAGATTCTAAAATTACAATTTGCTAGGCTCATAAAAAGTATATTATATGGAACAACTGAAAAGTTTATGAAACAAAAAACTACAAAAATGTTCTTTAAAAAAAGATATACCTGAAATGAAATATTTACAAATGTAATTTTTTCTTAATTTTCTTTAATGATTTTTTTTCTGTTTTGTGATTGTTACTGGTTGTTTTCTCTTTCAAAAGGTCAGCTTATTTACTGGGAAAGTGACCAGAACATTGTGGTCATATTCACAATATAAAGCTACAACGTGGGCAAAGGCACAAGTCTCCCTTCCAGCTCTCCAAGGAGACTCTGAAGTCTATTTCGACACCATTGGAGCACCACCTGATTCAACACCTCGGCCTTTCATTGTACTTGATGATATCAGCATTGCACGAGGAGCCTGTCCAAATCTTAGTAAGTTTATATTTTATTAATTTAGCCAATAATTATCAGAACGAATGACTTGTGTTCATTTTCACTGAAATACAATGTAGGTATTCAGCTGTTTTTTCTAAAAACTCATTTAAAATCTTACATTAGCAGCCATTAAAGTTCATAATGAGTGATTTCTTATTTAGATGTTTTATTTTATCATCATTTGTTATAAGAAGCATTTAATATACCTGGAGTTACCTCCCTTTATAAATTCAAACCTTTTCTACACTATTATTATTAAATTGAAACTGCAATTTTTAATATATGCAAATTTAATGTTTATGATTTTTTATTTAATTTTTATTAGGTTTGGATCATTTTTCTAATTTCTGGAGAGAATTTGAATATAGATTTTTCCAATATCTTCAAAGGTCTTATGTCTTTTATAAGCCATTATAAAATAATTTTGTTTGCATTGATATGGCTGTGTCTCTAGGTGTGTGTTGTTTCTTTGTTGTAAATGGTACTGGCAATTGCTTCATTTGAAATGGTATTGAACTAACACAAATCACACTCTGATGTACCGTTTTTTATTGATGCTGATGGACCACAAAAATGCCAGTTGACAGAAATTGCTCCTATAAAAAAAAACACATTTATATTGCTATAAGTACAAATGTTAAAGCAGAAAATAAAATAATCATTAATGCTTCCAAACAAGGTTTATATTGTTTCATTCAATACAAAGTACAAACTACTATACTTAATGAGTAAAAATGCGGATATATGTAAGAAATGAGCAAGACCATATCACCAAAACAGACTGCAATCCCCTTGTAGCCCCTCAACAAATTAATAGTGGCTAATTCAAAAAAATGCTGAACCATGAGAGTTGCAACACCATGGAGTGTCAGATTAAAGAGGTTGGACTGAAACAAATGAGGATTTATAATACCAAAAAAGATTTTTCTTTATCAATGTATCGTTTCCATATAAGACACACTTAAAAGAAATAGCTTAAAAATTACCTTGCATCTTATATGCAAAATTATTACCATAAGTTAATTTTATTACTCACACTTGCAGCTACAGTCTATAATTTCATCTCAGGTGGACAATTCTACCTAGTCCAATCCCATCATAAAATTATTTAAGTGGTAATAATAATATCCTTATTAATGCTGTAAAAGATATTATCATAAGAAAGTTCCAACTTTTCATTATTGTAATTTCTTGTTTTATGTTCGGCTATACTGTTAGCTTGCTTTTTATATACAGTAATGTTTTCTGCAATAGCTGAAGTATTTTTAACTACTTTCCAACTGTTACATTATTAATCATTTACCCTTTAATGTGGCATTGTTTGCTTTATTTTTTAGCTTGTGATGCAAATTGGTTAGCGTGTGCATCGGGAGACCTCTGCTATCATTCATCAGCAAAGTGTAATCGACATATTAACTGCATGGATTTCAGTGATGAAACCGATTGTCGTAAGTTGGTTTTTATTGTTTTTAAGAATTTTGTAGTGTATATGTGTGTGTTGATATAATGCAGAGTGTTCAGATATCTGCATATATAAAATGCAGAACATGGAAATAGGTAAATAGCAGACATAGTAGAAATAGAACTTTCTGTTATTTTAAAATTGACAAAATCCCTTCTACATGTCTTGGGCTCTTTACATGATGACATAGTAGAAATGGAATTTTCTGTTATTTTAAAATTGACAAAATCCCTTCTACATGTCATGGGCTCTTTACATGATGACATAGTAGAAATGGAATTTTCTGTTATTTTCAACTTGACAAAATCCCTTCTACATGTCATGGACTCTTTACATGATGACATAGTAGAAATGGAATTTTCTGTTATTTTCAACTTGACAAAATCCCTTCTACATGTAGTGGGCTCTTTACATAGTAGAAATAGAATTTAGAAATGTTTAGTTTTAATAAGGAATAATAAACAAAAATGTAAATCTTGTGTTACTTATCAGCAGGGTGCGAAAGGTGTGTAGATGGCCGTAAAGTGGGCTCTTTACATAGTAGAAATAGAATTTAGAAATGTTTAGTTTTAATAAGGAATAATAAACAAAAATGTAAATCTTGTGTTACTTATCAGCAGGGTACGAAGGTGTGTAGATGGCCGTTAAGTGGGCTCTTTACATAGTAGAAATAGAATTTAGAAATGTTTAGTTTTAATAAGGAATAATAAACAAAAATGTAAATCTTGTGTTACTTATCAGCAGCGTACTAAGGTGTGTAGATGGCTGTAAAGTGGGCTCTTTACATAGTAGAAATAGAATTTAGAAATGTTTAGTTTTAATAAGGAATAATAAACAAAAATGTAAATCTTGTGTTACTTATCAGCAGGGTACGAAGGTGTGTAGATGTTGTTATGGGTAGTGGTTTTAATTATTTTAAAATTTAGCTCAATTTTTTATCATTTTAATTTTTCTTTTTTTATTTTACAGTGTGCAATAATGATGAATTCAAATGTGGTTCTGGAAGGTGCATTGATAATGCTAAACTTTGTAATGGCAAACAAGACTGCAGAGATGGCAGTGATGAAATCACACCTTGTGGTAAGTTACAAATATATATACATATATATATATTTTTTAATCAGTTCACCTATAGCTGGGTAATAATGCCACTAAGATGCAAGAGGATACTGGGAGTGAAAGAGAATGAAAAGACTTTAGAATCAACTAGAACCCAATCCTAAACGGGGAACAATAGCTGAATCTCTACTCTTGTTCAAAAGACAAAGCAGGAGTGTGAACCAGACGATAATTGAACCTATCCACTTTTATTTAGTGGAAGAAGAAAAAAGAATATAAATAAATATTTAGTAAATAAAATTTCAAAGTTTATGCTGAGACATTAGAAGTATAGAGTTGAAATAGACTTTAGAAGGAATCAGAAACCCAGGCCTAAACAAGAAAGAAGAGATAAACCTCTACTCCTTTTAAAAAGAGCACAGAGTGTATGAACAGGAAAATTGGTGAACCTGTCTATTGAAGAGAAAAAAAAGAACATAAATAAATATTTAGTAAATAAAATTTCAAAGTTCAGGCAGAGACATTAGAAGTATGGAGTTGAAGTAGACTTTAGAAGGAACCGAAAACCCACGCCTGAACAAGAAAGAAGGGATACACCTCTACTCCTGTTCAAAAGACCAGGGAAGAGTGTGGACTTAGCAATAGCCACACCTGTTTGCTCTTATTATATATATTATATATATAATTAGTTACCATTTATTTCTCCTGTTTAAGATTTTTTTTTTTTTTTTGATTAGGAGGTTTGAGATTGTTTTTCCCATTGACAAGAATAATTTAATAAAATGGTTAAATATATATATATATATATATATATATATATAAAAGTGAACATAGAAGTCAACACTTAGAGGTGACAGTCTGTTTTATGCTAGATGCAATCGTCAGGCCTCTAAGTGTTGACTTCTATGTTCACTTTTATATTTACACACACTCTATCTCTGATATTGAGCACTTTATCCCATAAATATAGCATATCTTAAGACTATATTTCTTCATATATATATATATATATATATATATATATATATATATCAATGCCAATAAAAAAAATAACAAAAACAGAATCTGGCAGTAATTTCTTTGGTTTCCCTTGTTGAAAATTTCTAATTTTTGTTTAGCTGGTTTAGGATTCTTTTTTTCCCCATAGACAAAAATAATATTGTGGTGAAGGCACCCATAGTTGTCTCCCCCTTCAACTACTCTAGTATAGGATGCTCAAAGCTTGTATATGTGCATGATGTAATGGAATAACCTGTCACCCCCATGAGTGACTACACTATAGGTAGTAACTGCCAATAAATATCTGTAAGTCAACGGACTTCAGAGGCTAGATGGGATCTGTTACTCAGCTCTTAGCTGTTGTTGAACTCTCTGCCTTCAGGCAGAGAGGAACCCGGATTAGGCTATGCCGAAGGACAGTCTCATCCGGGGAGGTAGACAGATCCAAACTTGTTTATGCAGGGTCTATGGAGTATTTTTGGCTGAGCCTATGGGCTCAGATTGTCTCACATTAAATTTGGCCTTGTGCCACATCCTACCCCATGGGGAGGTTGGTAAATATTACTAGCTGGGATCTGTTGAGTACAACTGACTTACACGAGAACTACAAACCTTCCAATAGTAGCACTCACTACTGGATTGACTTTTGCGACAATCTTGTGCATAACTGTTACCTTTATTCTTATTGTACTGGTTTTACAATAAACCTTTACTTATTTTATCCACCATGTTTTTCAAGTATATATTCCTATTATCACAGAATATAACAGTGCAGTAGTTGAATGGCTTTGAATAAAGCTTCATTATGAGCTTAAAGGTACATCGATTTTTCTTACAATTTATTTAAAGTAATTATGGGCAAGTTTTTGAAATCCAAACTCTTAGACTTAAATGCGTCTGACTCAGATACCACTGGAAAATTTTATTTCCAAAGACTTCTTTCACTTTTAGAGACTTTCTTGTTGAAGAGATTGTCAGGAATTGAAAAGCTTCTTGCAATGACTATGAAACTGCTGTTGGCATTTTAGAAGAAATGTCCATTTTTGCTCATCACCTACTCGCCACTAAGAGAACAACAACTGGATGAAAATTTAGACCATTACCTACAGGCCCTGAAGACATTATGCTAGAATTCCAACTTCAAGGGAGTAACAGGATATTGTCTCATCAAATAAGATAAAGGCTGCTTGAAAATAAAACTTTAGACTTGACAACTTATGACAAGACTACCTTACTAGACATGGCCCAGAAATGGCACCTGAAACTCCTTCAAATACATAATTTTTCATCTTCAAAACCTCTTATTTCTGCCACCTCATACTCAAAACTATTCCCTTGCTCATTCAGTTCCAGAAACCTTTTCTGAGTCTCTTAATATTTTAATTCACTTCACCAAGTGTTTAATAACACAGTCTACAGCCTCTTATCTGACATTCTAAAACAAAAAAAAAAATTATTGGCCAGAATGTTTTTTCCAATTTTTGCACACCAAACTCATTTTTGCTATGAAACCTTGATCTAAATTGATTTACACTTAACCTAATATTTAGTCACTTGTTTCACATATCAACACTTCTTGACATAGCTTTGTTACTGGCTGGCTAAAGAAAAAAATATGCTACTAATTTTATAACTCTTTACCTGTTTTAATTTCTACTTTATTATTATATAAATAAACTCTATTTATATATTTTTTTCATAGCTTTTATTATCCCAGTAAATATTCATAAGAAATATTAAATATTAAATTGTTTTGTATAAGTCATAAATATTGTCTTGTAGCTGTAGAGCTGTTGATAAAATATATTCAAAAAAATTTTTTTTTGTACTGACTCATGAAACAATATTACACCTGAAAATTTCCATGTTGCCATCTTTTCTTATCAATAATTTTTCTCAGTTTTTTTCACATTGTATCTCAGTGGTTTTTATCACCTTGCTTGTGTCGACAGTAATGCATAAACATGCTGCACCATAACATAAAAATTAGCCACAAAGAAACAGAAAAGATGTGTCACAAGACCAGACCCTATTCTGATTAACAGACCTTCAGCAGCTTCCCAAAAAGAATTTACTTCTTCCCTGGTCATGCTTTGTCCACTACAAAGTGGACAAAGATGGTCACAAAGTAGACATGAAATCTCCTTCCATTTCTTTGTCTCAGGAAATAAGCCCACAAATGAAAGAAAAGATGAATTGCTGGTGTGAATCCTAATGCGCAAAATAAGGATAATTCTTTGTCTAAAAAGTTCCGACATAAATTTTAAAATATATGGCAAAAATATAAACAATTTGTAAGTAAAAAGCAATGAGCTTCCCTTCAAAAAGTAGTATGTATTGAAATATACAATGCAACCTCCACCCCTATGGAAAAATATTAATCAGATTCGATATAATTGGTGAATAATTGAGATTATGATGAGCATTAAAGCAAGTGAATATCTACAAAGTACGCCATGTCACTTTAGATTTATTCATGTAAGATCACGACTTTCTGTAACAAAACATTATTTAACATCCATAGAAATACGAAACTGTTGCAAGATATAAAGATATTAATTTTCTTAATTTGTGTCATAAAGACATCATTGAAAATATGAAATTTTAAAATTCTTGTTTATTTTTTAAAATTGCATTTTTTTTATAATCTCTTTCTCTTTTTAAATCCGCAGAAATTTACAACAATGTAACCTGCTCTTTTGAGAAACCATACAAATGCGGATACCGAACAAACGGTACTGAGTTTATTTGGTTACGAACAAAAGGAGATACACCATCAACAGACACTGGGCCATCAGGTGATCATTATAATAACAAAGAAGGTAAGATAGCAAAAAGCTTATTTCCTACCACTCACTTCTTATATTTATATTACACACCTTATTCAATAACACTCTAACTTGAGTTGCTCTCAAGTCTAGTATTAGGGAACTTTATTTTAAAGAAACAACTGAAACTAGAAAAATGCTTTTTGTGATAGGTGGGGAAAAATACAAGTTTTTTGCTTGAATATTTGTATTTCACTTAAAAAACAGCAAACTTTACCCTCAATGTCAAGTTGCTTTTATTGAATTTATTTACTAATAGATAAAGAAGTCTACCCTGTAATTAGCCAAACTCCAGCTACATTTAACATTTAAAGTTAGCTTTATTTGTATTTCAACTAATCCCTAATCAGCAGAAGTCTTGTGATAAATAATTTTTGTGCATATCTGGTTAGAATTTAGAGACGTCCAAGAAAATATTCATGATAGAATAGTAAAGAAATGAACAGAAAATAAAAATATTAATTAGTTTTGCATAAAACAATGATACCCATGAAATAATAATACATTTGTTTTGTGAAAAATGTTATTTCTATATATTTACTATGTAATGAAAAATATATATTTGTTTATAAAATAAAAGTGTCATTAATTTATGCAGAAATTCATAATTTTTTTATGTGTTTTCCCTTTTCAATTTTCAATATATATAATTTTCTTTTCAGCTTTTGTAAGAGACACATAAACAAACATATAAATATTGGATCATTATTATCTGGGTGAGCATGAATGTAGACCCAACATTATTATTATTAAGTAGCAAATTGAATTGGAAATTCCTTTATTCTTCAAGTTAGAGTAATTTTGCAGTATTGTTCTAACAAGAATCTCACTATTATATATCATTTTGTTTTTGGTCTACTGTAATAAAAATAAATAATCTATAAACAGAAACCAACCATTGTATGAGAAACACAAAATATAAAAAGTGCTATTTTAATCACTTAACATCTTCTTGCATATTAGTTATTATTAAATTTGATGTCTAATCTGTGGCTCTACAGGAGAATGCTGAGAATACCATGGACCAATCATGTGAACAGCGACAAAGTTTTAGAGAAAAAGAAAACAAAAAGGACCCTTATAGTTAACATCAGAAAGAGACAGTTGAAATTTCTAGGACACATAATGAGGAAAGAGGGCTTGGAAAATTTGATACTCACAGTACAAATTGAAGACGAAAGGGACAGAGGAAGACAGCACATAACCTACCTAGCGAGCTTGAATAAATGGATGGCAGAACAGGGTTTAGGAAAGACAAAATCTATTAAGATCTATGGACAAGAAATTGTGGAGAGCCATGATCGCCAATGTCCTGAAGGGACACAGCATATAGGAGGAGAAGAAGAATAAAAAGGAAAGATAGCAATTTTATCTTTGTCAGGCCAAAATTGCACAATAACTGGATAATGATATAATGTTTGTATAATGCTATTGAATTTAAAAAACGGAAACATTATATAAACTATTTCTATATTTTATACTCATACATGATAGTTTGTGCAAAACTATCACTATTTTCACTCTTCAATTTCACCAGTTCAGACCTTCACAGCTAGGATTTAACATGCTACAGCCACAGGTTCAAATTATCAACATTTCCTCAGTATTCCATTTGTAAGGAGGAAGTTCCACTCATAAACCTTTTTCCCAAGAACTGCTACTTTGTGAAACAAACTGCCACATGGATACTTACCTGAATGCTACAATCTTAACCTATTCAAGTCAAGGGTCAATCCTTTCTGTCCTTATAATCTTCACTTTCTTTTACCTCCTATTATCTTTTACTTCAAATTACCTGTGTCTATATCAAATACATGTTTAACAAATGGCGTAAGAAAAGATCAGACATGAAGAGGTTTGCTAATAAGAGCTATCAGAGAACAGCACAGTCACAGCTGTCTTTCACGAAGTTGGGAATCACCTTTATCCATCAGCAGTTGCACAACAGTTAATGACAATAATATAGATTAGTATATACTCTTGATGGCCAACGGTGCATTCCAAAAAATGGGCAGAGTATTGCAAGACAGGAGGATTTCTTTGGTAACAAAGAAAACAAATACTGAGCTGCTATGTGATATCTGTCCTCCTTTATGGCAGCAAATGTTAGATGGTTTCCTCAAAGATGAAGAAGAGACTCGAACCACCGGAGGTATGGTTCTGCAGAAAGATGCTAAAGACATCCTGGATCAAGTGTGTGAGCAACAATGAGGTTTTGGAGATGATGCAAACAGGGAAAAAGCTTATAATTAACATCAGGATGAGTCAGCTGAAATTTCTTGGACACAAAGGAGGGCTTGGAGAATCTGATACTCACAGGTCAAATAGAGGGAAAGAGAGACAAGGGAAAACAACGCATGACGTACCTGGCAAGCTTAAGCAAGTGGATGACAGAACGTGGTCTGAGGGAAGTAGCAAAGGGACAACACTTATTGAGAGCTACAAGGAATAGGGTGAAGTGGAGAGCCATGATCGCCTACATCCTGAAGGGACAGGCACATAAAAAGAAAGAAAAACTTCTGCTAATTCAAACAAATTCCTGTTTCATGAATATATATATATCTCTATTGCTTTTATTTGTTCAGGTTATTACATGTATACTGAAGGCACAGACGGAGAAGAAGGAGATAAAGCCACGCTGACATCACCTCATTTCCAGACCAAACAAACCAGCAGTCTTCATTTCTATTACCATATGTTTGGCAATGGTATGGGCACTCTGAAATTAATAATTTCTCATCTGAACAATGGCTTACAGACTGTGGTATGGAATAGGACAGGTAACCAAGGTGAATCTTGGTTCTCTGAGTGTATCCTGTTGCCAAGCAATGCCAATTTGAAAGTGACCTTCACAGCTATAAAAGGCCGTAACTACCAAAATGATATGGCAATTGATGATATTTCTCTCTATCATTCACCATGTTCCTGTAAGTTTGATGACCATTTCACAATTTCTTTTTCATTTTTCTTCTATTGAAGAGCTCTGTTTCTTTCATATTATTGCTGGTAACTTTTAGGGAATACTTTAAACTAGGATTTATCTTGACACTGTGAATCATTTAACAAAATACCGCCTCCCAAACCCTCTCATAAGGCAGAGCCAGTGTATTTGTTTTATATGTTGTTATTGCTGACACACTACAGGCTCTTTTTGAAGGTTTGCATGTCAAACAGAATAGTTTTATGGTGTAAATTTTAAAAGTTTAAATTTTTAAAATTTGAATTCTAAATTTAAATTTTTTTAAATAAATTTTGAATTTTAATTTTAATTTGAAATTCTAAATTTAAATTTTTTAAATAAATTTTGATTTTTAATTTAAAAAAGTTAAATTTTAAATTTAACTTTTAATAATTTAAATTCTAAATTTAAATTTAAAAAATTAAAATTTCTTGGTGTAAATTTTAAAAGTGATGTAAATCAAAATCTTTTAAGGTTTCTTACTCCAAAAAATACTGTTACATTTTTTTCATCATTATATGAATAATTATCTGATCATTGTGATCTTATTTTAAGTTTTGACCATCTATGTCATTCTCACAGCTGAGATAAACCTTCAAGTGTTGTTTTATTTGATTGTTGTTCCAATTTGAAATCAGAGAAAATAAGGATAATTTTGACAAACTGTCACATCTTTATTTAATTTTTAATCAAGATTCATCACTGACTTACGTCAAAAGTCAATGAAAAATATCAAAATTTTGTACCAAATTAAAATGACTTACCTTGTAGACTTTATTGAACTAGAAAGTTTTAAAAAAAAATAAGTAAAATCATATCAGTTGTGAAAACTTTTGACACATCATAAAACTGAGTAAAATATTTAGATATTGATGTTTTCTTCATTTGGTTAAGATTAACTTTATGTTTTTATCCTTAAAATAATTCAGCTAAAAAAAACAAAATTAATATTGTGTCCATCTTCTAAATTAAAGATAGTCACTGTGTATTTATACATAATGCATGTATGATATATACATATCTATAGAATATATGTAAGTATATGTATATGAAGATATATATGTTTATATACTGCAGTTCAAAAGTTTAAAGCCACCCTCAGAATTAGCATGGGATGAACTTGACAGAATAGTGAAAAGAAAATGAAAAAGAACTACTTGTGGCATTGAAAAAAGAATGGAATCAGTTATCAAACTTATACTTTGAGAAAACTTTGCAATGAATGTGAAAATATTTGTGCT